ATTAAGGCATTTCCCCTGAGCTTACTTCCCAGCATTTTACTGGTAATCTCCAGTGCACCCAGCAGATGTTCTTTGGAATGCTTCTGCAGACTGAAGTTCATTACTCCAAACGCTCAAAAAAAAAAAAAAAAAAAAAGACACCCGCCTGCTGGAGGACCTTGACAAAAATGAGTGTGGTATTCAGCATGAGCTTGGTATACAACCAAGAAATTACTTACTGCACAGATATGTACTAACTTGATGCACAGCCTGCAATACCGACATCGTCCATTGCAATGGTGTCCCTGCCTCACTTGCCACCTATTTCAATGGGTATAGAGGGCAAGCTGCCTGCCCATATGCCTTGGCGGATGCACAGGAACTAGGCTGAAAGTACAAGGAGGTGTCAGGGTAAGCCCCCTTTCGGTCCCTCGGAGACGCGTCCGATTCTGGTCCGACTCCGGTTCCGACTCCGGTCCGGCCCTCCATCTCGCCCGCACAATCACTGATCCGTCAACGCCCTCCCGACGGTCGCCCTGGGACCTTGCCTGCGACGCCGCCCAAGCCTTCTGTGCCCGACAGCGGCAGCTACGGAACGGACAAGCAGTATATAGTCAGCTACCTAGCAGGCGGACCCTCAGAGTTTCTTCTCTTTGGATCCTCCCCTGCTAGGTCAGCTTCATTTGTATTCGCTTACCAATGTTCACGCTTTGGATCCTCCCCTGCTAGGACCTTGATCTCAGGCCTCCGCGGTTGCCCTTACAGGAGGATAAGCAAGTGCAAGCTTGTGCCGCCAATAGGTACGGTCAGACATGACCGACCAGACGCCAAACGGAATGACCGAACAGAGATGTGATGACATCCGTTCATCACAACCAAACGACGCCCTTGCACCTGCGAACAACCACCACCCTTCAAGCCTCTAAACATGGGCTCATTGTGCATCATCGCCATCACGGCTGTGCCTGACTCTGAGATCCCACCACCATGGCTTCTAAGCCAGTGCTATCTGCTGCCAGCAATTCCGCCACCAAGAAGGCCAGAAAGCGGTCTCGAAAGGGTGCTGCGCCACCCAAGGTCAAACTTGCTAAGGGAAAGAATAAGGAGAGGGGGAAGGGGAAGGTAGATGAGGGTGTGATGCCACCAATACCAGAGCAACTCAGGAAGGACCCGTGCGTTGTTATCACTGACTCTGCCTTCATCTACTAACCTGTTCACAGCTTCAAGAACTATGGAAAAATTGAAAAATTGAAGGAGATGGTTAATCTCAGCGCCAGCATGCCATTGTTCAAGGCAAAACTCTTCCCAGCCTCGGGCAAGAACCTTTTGACAGCCGATGGAGGTGGCGTCAAGGTCACACACATCCACTATGACCTCGCCAAGCTACTCTTTTGGCAACATCGACGATGCCCACTCAGGGTCACACAGGGCAGCAGCATTTTGGCGTGTCAGGCACCCTTCACCATCTGTGTTTGGTGGTGCGGTCAAACAAGAACGGCGAGTTCGGGACTGAATACAATGTCCTTCAGTCTGTATGATGACACACACAAGTTCGGGGGCTCCTATCAAAGTATATGATAGCTGCAATCTGGTCGTAGTCGATACAAGGTGGTATGGTAATGTTGAAGTAGTATAAAGTCCAATCCGCGCGGCGGCAAAGGTCGTGAGAGTATAGTCAGTAGTACTGAATTAAAGTCGGACCGACGGCGTTATCGGGTCCAGTGTCAATCGAAAGTCTTGGCGCTTCTTAATACAGTTACCCCAGATTGGCGAGGTCGTTATCGTTATCGTTATCGTTGTCGTGGGTGCCCTTATCCTTTGATAATCAGGCCGTTTCGTGGTTGCCCCTACTCTTTGGTAAGCAGGCCGTTTCATAGTCATTTCGCGGAGGCCTTATCCTTTGATAATTAGCCAATGAATGCAATCCACACTGTCAGGGGATAAGGGTCCAGGTGCCTAGTTGATACCAAAGCCAGGGGAACAGCCCCACGGCCAACTACTTAAGTACAGGGCTATCTGCGCACGGACCAGTCACGTGATCGGTCACAGCCGTCACATCACATGCTCCCCTTACACCAACCCCTCCTCAAGATCCGTCGCCCTGACGGATAGGCGGAGTGTAGGGTTCTGTGAACTCGTATTCGGGGACGCCAGGGAAATAGAGGTTGTCGCCTATAACACGCAATGATTGCGCAGGTATGCCCCCTCGTTGGGCCGTCTGTTGATTGCGCTGCCGACCGTGCGTTACCGCGTTCATCTGCATGGGAGTAGAAGCCACACTGGTATCCATCCGCATGGGAGAGGTGCCTTGGGTATGCAAGACTCGGGTAAACGTCAACGAAGTTCCCATAGCCACTGAGGGTGCGAAGGGAGTAGGATTAGGCTGGGGAGTAGGGAGAGTGGAAGTCGCGGCCCGTATAGGTTGGGTAGTGGCGGCAGCAGGCTGACAGGGTAGGGTAGACAGGAAGAGGGGAGAAGACAGTCGTGAATGCCCAGCTGGCCCGCCAGCGGCAGTCGAAGCCCTCGGATGAGTGGCAGAAGGTGCAGCAGTGGGGGCGCGGGGCATCTGAGACTGGCCACAGGGCACAGTGGACGAGCGGTGCGGAGCACGGTCGACGTCCATCTTAGTGGCGTGGGACACAGGCACAGGCGCGACAGGAGGAGGGGGGGCAGGTCCCTCAGCAGATAGTGGCTGACGTTGCTTCTTCGCACGGACACGCTTATGCATGAATCGTTTCCCAAGCGCAATAAGCGCTTCACCGATTTGCTGGTCGGTTCCCCGGATAGAGACCCGGCGCTCACCAGGCACAGCGCGCGATCAGAGTACGCGCGCAACTGAGCACCGGAAGTGTCGTGAGCTTGGTGGAGACCCTTGCCGCCACGACCCACAATATGCCCGACGGCCGAGGTCAGGCACCACAAGCGTACAAGAGAAGCGCGCGTGACAGTGTCGGGCGCAGTAGGGGGAAAGGTTTCGGCAAGTGGTATGGAAGTGTAGACCGCAGCAATGACAGCAGGGGTAGGGGCCGGGATTGTTGGAAGAACCCAGCGACTGCCATCCCAGACACCGTGGAATGTAAGACCAGGGGAAGGGGGAGCAGGGGGTGGAGCAGGCGTACCATACTCAAGACGGTCGAGACGGTCGGTGAGGCGAGTAATTTCGCTCTGCAGGAGCAGGCAGTACAAATACAGGTCGACAGGGATGCCGGGAGTCGTCATTGGAGGAGAGAAGGCAAGCACAGTAGGGTGAGGACAAATATAGGAGATAGAGAGGATCAACTGGGGCTAGAAGAGTACCAGAGTCGATGTAGAGGCTTTGGTATGCTGTCAGGGGATGAGGGTCCAGGTGCCTAGTTGATACCAAAGCCGGGGGAACAGCCCCACGGCCAACTACTTAAGTACAGGGCTATCTGCGCATGGACCAGTCACGTGATCGGTCACAGCCGTCACATCACATGCTCCCCTTACACACACGGGGATTCACTGCCTATCTACTGATATATGTGAACTTATAGATCACCGGCGGGCTTGGCATCAATCCGCAGCCGGCAACTGTTGCTGGTCCACCACCTCCGTCTCCGCCACTGCCCCACCCGTTGCCTGCATCGCCCAGCTCGTCGCCAACACCGCCTCGCTCGTCGTTGCTGCGCATGACTGTGCACACTGCCCGTCACCTTGCTCCCGTGCTGCGGCACCACTGTGGACGCTGCGGCACCTACTCATCGCCTCCAGCCCATTCCTGTTGCTTGACGCGTCGCTGGACGGGTTGCATGTTGCGTGTCGTCATGAAAGTCATTCCCGTGACTTTCCTGGTACCACCCCCCATGCCAGGTGCGTCAACACACTGCTCTGAATGCACGCATGTATGTATGTCTTGCTTCTTGGTACATATTTATTGACTCTTGACAGGGCACCGACTCAAGTCTCAAAAAAGCCAGTGCAGCAAAAGGCCACCACCATTCGTGTCACAGAGCCCCAACAGCTGTGGCTCACTGTGCCTGGTACCTCCACAGGACCTCACTATTACTTATATGTAGGCAATGGCATGAGTAAACCCCTGGGTATCCAGAGCCTTACTTATACTCATACCTGCACAGCCACCATACCCATACCCATGGGTATGGGTATGGATTTTACTCCTAGGTATTGTCACTTCTTAACCCCAAATGACTGATATATTTTCTAGTTCAAGTTAATTTTCTGCTTTGGCACCCACCAAGTGCTGGCACTTTAAGCAAGAGCCAAGATGGAATCAGCAATTGCACGTAGTGAGTGATTTCCACATGTCATATCATATCTCATCTACCCATGGGTCGGCAGGTTAGAAATTTGCAATCTATACCCATACCCATACCCATGCGGGTAAAACCCATGTACCCGCACGGGTAGGCCTTACCCGTGCCATTGCCTACTTATATGCCACCTCTGTATTATTTATACCCAGAATTGGTAGTAAATTAAAAAGTTCTTTGAAATAAGACTTTTCTCTACAAACTTAAGTAAGGCACACAACAATCACCCCGAGGAATGGGAACAAAACTGGAGGATTTTTTTAAATTCTAATTAAGGTAATAATGACCCCAAAAAGGGACACCTTTATTTGTTGGGAGAAATGGATTTAAAAAGACCCAATAAGTAGAACAGCAATCTTATCAGAAAAAAAGGAATCAACATTGTTATCCAAAAAAAGCCTCTTATGCCCAGATATCTTCCATTTTTCCCCCTTTTTCTCCTACAATCTGAGAAACATTTTTCTGGTCAGATTTCCTTCCTATCTAGTTGACATCATTTAAACCTTTTTTTCTAATCAATAAAGGTCACTATTTTTTCAACCATTATTACCTTCATTAAAATTTTAAAAAATCCTCCCGTTTTCTTCTCAGTTGTCGGGGTGAATCCCGACAAGTGGTGGGGTCACGTTATCGATTTCCATATCGAGAAGCTCCACGCTGCGTAATTTTGGCAATCGGCGCAGTAAGTACTCCCACGGAGTGACCGATCACTGTCACAGTAGGCGCGCCTTGCTTCCTGCACCGATGGCGGAAGCGCCGTCGACAGCGACGATAACTGACGCCCTGGCTGCATCCACGCTCGAGTCTGTGTCAGAACCGGCAACTGACCCCTCTCCTGAAGGCCCTCCTGAACCGGCCCCAGACTCGGAGCCAGCGCGCCAGGCCACGCCCGAGCCTGAGCCTGTACCCGAGCTCCCCCCGCCGCGCGACGACCCTTTCACGCTCGACACGCTTTGGGAATATAACGGCTCCGACGAGAACAAGCCCTTGCTCGTCTCCATCAAAGGTGTGTCCTCCCCTATCCTCATGCATTTACAACTGGAGCATATATAGGGACGGTGTTCGACGTGTCGGACAACTATGCGGTCTACGGCCCACACCGGTCGTACGCTGTCTTCACGGGGCGCGACGCGTCGCATGGGATGGGCTGCAGCAGCATCCGGTTTGAGGACGCGTATCCGGACTATTCGGGCTTGAGCGAGGCGCAAATGGGGGTGTTGGATCAATGGCATGCGATGTTTACGTGCGTGGGGCGCTTCTTTCATTCTTGCTTGCGCGTTAAAGTAACCGGACAGGAAGAAATACCCGATTGTGGGGAAGGTGGTTGATCATCCGACGCTGTTGGCAGAGAAAGAGAAGGGGAAAGGGAAAGCGAGAGATTTTGAGGCTGCCGGTGCTAAGGAAGAACCTTTGACCCAGTCAACAACTTGAACACGGCATATAGTGTCATGATTCATCCGAGCTCCTGAATTCGAAGGGTTATATGCAGCTATCACGAGTCATGACCAGCATGAGCCTCAAAGTGGTCTAAAAACCTTTTCGACGGTATATCCATTTTTTGAAAGTTGGAACCCCTTGGCAGAGATCATACATATGATGTTTCCGGAGATTTTGGAGAAAACTAAAGAAGAAATTGAATGGAAATGAAGTCAAAAATTCGATCGTTCGTATGCCGTCGTATATGTACTTAGCAGTCTTAGTTACAAGCCAGAAATAATATTTTCACGTTACACATGTGCTTGCAGTTGTTAATAATGTCATCATAAGTCCTAGTTGAACTCTTTCATGTAATCCGGTCCCAACACCACTTCCTCAGCTGTCGTGCCATCCTCGTCTACAGCAACAAAGTTTCAGACCAATCAACTGCTCGGTGAAATCACTCACATGAGTTCCACGTCTTCACCACAGGAATCTTCGCGGCACCATCGCTGGTAACGCCCAGATCGCGTAGATTCAGCGCAAACACCCGGCCGTTGCGCAGTGCACTGTTCTTCGTCACGTACCCGCCGTACCCGGAGTGGCCGTTGAAGCAGATCGGGATGCTCGCCGAGATGTTCAGGCTCCGGGCGCACCAGGACTCGCCGTGGTCGTGCCCGGAGGTGACGGCCAGAACGTTTCCGGCGGGCTGGTTAGAAAGTGCGATGATTTCGTTCCAGACTGCAGTAATGTGTGGGTCTCGCCGGCATAAGTGGAAGAGAAGGAACTTACAAGGGAGATCGAGGCCGGTGTATGTGTTGTTGAGGAAGCCCTGCGCGGACGGATTGGGCTCGTCGTCATGGTCTCCCGCACTTGGTAGGGACGCGAGCGGTTGCGCCTTTTGTACCTGCCATGCAACAGTTACCCCCAGCATGTAACGAGTGAAAGAGAAAAACGAACCGGGATGTGGACGAATATCAATGCAGGAGGCACTTTTCCCCACTGAAGTGAATGAACTTCAGTACTTCGGCTGATCGAGGCCTGTTAGCGAAACACACCGTCTTCGACATGAGCTCCCGCTGCTCTTTCATATATGCGGGCACAGTCTCTGGGTCGACCCAGTAGTAATTAGCCGCGTCGGGGACCGGTCCTGGGCCGTTCCCCGTGCCGCTAACGAACGCGCGCGAGTCGAAGAACCACATGATCAGCGCCGGGACGACAGCCTTGCGATGGGCGTATACCGGGACCCCTTCCGCAAATGGTCAGCCAATCTGTGAACGTATGATGGAGAGGGAACATGCAGTAGTTCCCGGATCCATACGGCTTGGGGCCGACGTCCGAGCGGGTGTATGACAATTCGGAGTACGTCGCTTGCTCGTATTCGATTTCGATTTGGTGGTTGATGTTGTTCTAGTGACGAGGGCAATGAATGGGCGAATGTCTGTGGGAAATGGAAACGCACGGCATTATCGTGCTATGATCAACTTAATATCAGTGACTTTCTGCTCCACAAGAGACGACTGACATTTCCGTGAGCGACCGAGAAGGGGATTTTCCGAGCAACGGTTGGAGCATAGGCCTGATCAAGATAGCCCGTCGCATTGAACGCAAAAACATTCTCGCCTAGAGAATTTTGCTCTGAACTTGGACGAATTCAAAGGAGACGCACCCGTTATGATATCGCCGTTGAAGACTCTGGGTTGCTGCTTCAGCTGGTGGCATACAAGTCAGACACAGACGCACACATAGTCGGGTTTCTCGTGGTCCAACACCGCCCCATGAACTTTTTGCGTGGCCGCATCCTGCATTATCTTGTCATCGGTATCCAATCTGTGAACGAGACACTGTGGAGACGCACATGTTCCGGCCCCCACGCGGCCCACGACCCGTCTCCGGGGCGCTCTCCGAAGTGCATATCGGAGAACGACACGACCTTGAAGTTCCCCGCCGCGTCGAAGGTGAGCTTGCGCTGGCCCTTGATAATGCCTTTCAGCTGTGGCTTTGGACTGGATGTCGGCGCTGCGACGGCGCGGGCGGCTGCCCAGGCGAGGAGGGCTGGCAGGAGGAGCATCGATGTCGTTCAGAGAGAGAGCCTCAGCGGTCACGCGAAGGCGGAGACGGAAGCGGACAGAGGGATATGGTGGTTCGCGAACGCACGTGCAGACGTCGCCGCCATACTTCGCGATGGGCTCAGCTGGTCGGCGAAACGTGCGCCGCGTGCATGTGGTCGACAAAAGCATCATGGCCGCTGGTCACATGCGCGGGAGAGAAGGTCGTCGCCCTCTTCGTTGAACGTCAGGCGTGCATTGAACCAGGGTCTGGCAGATGCAAACCAGAAGTCAGGATTTAAAAACAACAACAAAGTGGAGTGCTTACACCATCTGTTCTCTTGCTGGGTCTGAATTGAGTCATCCCTTGCGATACCGATCGTATCCACAAGGACACTCGCTCCTTGGCCAGTCGGCACAACGATCTCTAGACGTCAACTTCATGGTATTGGCTGGGCACATTCGCAACAGTCGAGTATTTTCCTTGCCAACACGAGGTGTGAGTACGGCTTGCGCGAAGAACAGTTAGTGGAGACAAGAGTGGTGCTAACGATGATAATGTATGCAGAGAGCTGGGTTTGAGCCCCACAGTTCCGGAGACCTTGAGATGCATTGTTTTGTTTGCCCGATGAAGAGGGATACAGGACCATTGGTCAATCGACATGGTTTCCGGCTTTTAGCATTTCGTATACCGCCTGTCGAGATATTCCGGGTCCATCGGCCTCCTCTGCCTCCTGTTCCTCTTCACCTTCTTTTTCTCCTTCGTCATCATCTGCCTCTGCATCCTCATCTGCATCCTCGCCTTCCGCCTCATCCTCGTTTTCATCCTCACCTTCATCTTCATCTTCCCCTTCACCTTCCCCTTCTTCCTCATTCCCTTCCTCTTCATTTTCTTCTTCGTTCTCCCCTTCGGCATCTGCTTCATCGCCTTCTCCATCTTCCTCGTCTTTTTCCTCCGCCTCTGGCTCGTCGCTCGGCACAAACGACCGCCACATCCAGCACCCATCATCCTGCTCCCCCCTCTCCTGGTCCACAAAGTCCTCAAACCCCATATTCGAAATATCCAGATTCGAAATCATGCCGTGGGCCTCCTCGTAGGGCAGGCGGCACGCGCGGAACTCGTCCGTCATCCCGCCGTCCCCGTCCCCGGTTCCGTCCCCGTCCGCCTCCGAGTCGTAGTACTGCTCGCAGACGATGCACGTGGACGTCTCCAGCCCGCGCTGGTCGAGCACGGCCCAGTCCGCCGCCGAAATGTCCAGCTTCGCCAGCGCCTTGCTGTTTTTCCGCACAAACGCATTCACCGCCGCGAGCGACCACCCCGCAAACGCGCTGGCGGAGATAGGTGGGGTGATGGGCAGGCGGGTCGGCTTGCGCGCCTTGGCTTTCGTCGGCAGCGTCTTTGAGCTCAGCAGGATCCAGCCAAAGTCGGGCGGGTATGATCCGAATTCGAAGTCGTGCGCGAGCAGCAGTGCGCGGTTGAGGGCCTGTGAGGGGTCAGCAGGATGGAGGGAGAGGCTGGGATAACCTTGGGCGGCGCCTGAGTCGCAGTGAGGAAGATAGCCCAATTGGACATGATGAAGGGGATACTTAGGGGCCGTGACTGCTGTCACGTCGTTACCTGATTGTCGGCCAAGACGACTGAAAATTTTCAACCCGAGGAGTCGCAGGACAGAAACACCCTCTTGTTTCCCTCAGAAACTCACTCTCGGGCGCTGTAGTGTGCAGGGTTGGTGTTGCGGTAAGCAATATGCCTTCATTGAAGTTGCCAACTTTTTTTTGTTTACTAGTAGTTTTGATTTTAGCTCAGGCTGCAAGTTCTTTCCAGCCGCGCTTCTACGGCGCCTCACGGCCTCCGTGCCCCTTTGCGCACGACGGGGCCAATCCACGCGTCACCCACATGCCGTTTTTATGTGTCATTTTTGTACGTGATCCAAGCAGTGTCTGTCGGTTTTTTTCTTATTCTTGGCTCTCCTCCCTTCGACACCTTCACAGAACCTCTCGCGACAATGGGGGGCGGCGGCAATTCATCCCGTTCGTTGCTGTGGGAGCCGCCAGCGAAGGAACGTGTTGCTGTTTTTGCTTCACTATCACAATCACACAACGCGGAGGACACATTCCATTCCTCCCATTACCGCCAACTAGCAGTGAGCGTATGACACCGCAAGGCAAATTTTGATTATGATACGCGCGTGGCGTCCCTTCAGCTGCCGGCCGCGTTGGAGCCAGGCGGCTCGCCGCTTAAATGCGCTACTCGTCGCTTGCGCTTTTTTCCCCACCACCACCACCACCCTTCCCTTGCCTCAACACCACTCTCCGAAATGTCGAATGTTCTTGGTGTCATCGTCATTGCCCGCAACGGAGACCGGCGTGAGTATTACCAGGACCCGAAGACCTATGCGCCTGCGCTGACCGACTCGACCGCGCTCGGTGTCGTGCGTCTTCCCTCCGCTTTTCACGCTGCACGATGACTCATTGCGTTGACCACAGAGCGACTTGCACCATCTCGGCACCGAACTCCGCTCGCTCTACCTCACGCCCACGTCGTCGTCGTTCATCGAGGACATCTCCACGGACGTTGTTGACACGCAGCAGGTCAAGGTCCGCGTCAAGGCGGGCGGGGAGGGCGCCGTCGTGTTTGACAGCGCCATCGCCCTGCTGCAGGGCCTCTTCCCGCCCAACCCGCGGAACAAGATCACGCTTGCGAACGGAACGGTGGTGATGGCGCCCCTGGGCGGATATCAATACGTGCCCAGTGCGTCTTGCTTTCTTTTTCGAATTGAATTGGTGCTGATTAGACTTAGTGGAGACCGTCGAGCCTGGCAATGACCGCTCGATGGAGAGCTGGACCGACTGTCCCGCGTTCCAAAAGCACGTTGCCGAGTTCCACTCCTCGGACGCGTTCAAGGCCAAGGCCAAGGAGGCTGCGCCGTTCTTCAAGGATATCACGGACTTTGTCTTTGGTCGCACGACTAAATTGGAGAATATCGTAAGTGCTTTTTTCGGTCCTTCACTCAAGAAGATTCTAACGCATGATGATATAGTGGAATGCATGTTGATCCCTTATCGTACTCAGTATACTGACACCTTCCTAGATCCATGACTTCATGAGCACCCAGTTGACCTACAACCAGACCTACGCTTTCCGTCTTCCGCCGACTTACATTGACCAAGCGCGTGCCCTTGCGAATTACCACGAGAACGGGGTGTTTTCGGACGAGCAGCCCAATGGTATTGGGAACATCGCCGGCCGCACGATGCTGCACACGGTCCTCAACTCGCTCGAGCGCATCGCGTTCAACGACGACCCGCTGCAGCTGATGGTCGTGCAGACGACCTACCAGCCGTTCATCTCGCTCTTCCACCAGACGGAGCTCGTCAAGGAGCACCCCGAGCTGGCCAGCATCCGTATGTCTCTCTTGTCTGCATTGTCAAGGTACTAACTCTTCCGGTAGCCAACTTCGGGTCGGCCCTGGCGATCGAGCTCCGCCGCGGGCTGCCGCCGGACACGCGCGACTTCCTGCGGTTCAAGTTCCGCAACGGGACCGCGGACCCGGAGGGCTGGCGGACGGTGCATGTCTACGGGCACAAGGCGGACATCCCCCTCACCGAGTTCATCTACCGCTCGGAGGTACCGTTGCGATTTTCTTTGGAGGTGATTGAGGGCTTATGTCTGCATTGCTAGGGCTCCGCGATCACGAGCAACAGGCAGTGGGCACAGGTGTGCGGCGTCAGCGCGAGCGGCGTCGGGGCCCCTGCCCCATTTGGTTCTTTCTCGGTCGTGCTGGGTCTCTTGATGCTCCTCGTGGCGTTCTTGGGCTTCAACGCGGCCCAACGGCGCGCGAAGAAGGCTCGGGACATGCAGTTGCCGGTTACGAACGTTGAGGTCTGCCAGTTTACCGTCGCTATATAGTCCTCACTGACCAGTTCCGCTAGGTTGTCGAGGAGGTACAGAAGACACGTCTTATCTCTAAGCAGTGAGGTATAGGATGTCCCGTGTTCGTGTACTTGGATCGTCACGGTGGGCACTGGCATATGCATATGGTGGTACTGGACAATCGCTCGACATTCATTCAAATTCAAGTTTCTCAAGTCGTCTCAAGTAGTACTTAGTCTCGTTATCCATAGCATGAATACTATTTCTAATCATGAACAGTTGAGGGCCTCAATATCTGTGTTTAGTAAATGAAAAGGGGACATGTAAACAATCTCTTGGAGTATTGCATCACCGCCGGCGGGAACGGAATGGCTGTCGAGGGCTGATGAATCATTGTTTGTAACAGTAATGCGCAGTAAACAGAGGAGTACTGTACAAGTTCTTGCTCTCCATGTGTCTTCCAATTGACATGCGCTAAGTTCTCGTTACCTTCAATTTAGCTTCCAAATCCAACACTGTTTTTAAGTCGAACACTTTTTTTACTATTTCAAACAAACAGACAACGAGGCATACAACGTTGTGAATACTACTGGGTAGCAAGACAAAGATGTAAATTGTTCATTCGGAAGCAAGAAGAGCGAGAAACGTCAATCCGATACGAGGAGCCGATGCCGGTCAGCCTGTTCAGAACTGTATGCAAACCGCTCAGAGCGTGATCGGGATGCAGTTGATCGCGATGAGACCACCCCACTCTTTCTGGGGTGCATCGCAAGTGACGGTGGTGCCACCGCTAAAGCGCGTCAGCCAGCTGCTGCACCGAAGAGCGCTAACGTTTACCAGTTGTTTCCGATGACGGTGATGGGAGAGCAGCCGAGGCCGATGGGCACGTTGAGGCCGCTGAGGTCAAGGCCGAGGAGCGCTGCGACGGCCGAGACTGCGCTGCTGCTGGAGGACTGGACGCTGGAGCAGCACTGGGGCGAGCTCGGGGGAGTAACCGGCGGCGTGTTGGGGGCGGCGGCAGCAAGGGTCTGTTAAATAGTGAGCGAAATTTTGCCGTCGATGAAGACCTGAGGCCTACAGCGAGGGCGAAGAAGGCGACGAGCTTGGAGAACATGTTGTTTGGAGGCTTTACTGCAACTTGTGGGTGGTTGAAGTGAAGAATCGGGGAAAACATACCTCGCTTTTATCCTCTCTCGCCTGGCGATGACGGAGGCCATGGGCCCGACATACGAACGGGCAATTGGCGCAGAAGAGTGGAGTAGTGGAGCGGAATGTTGTTGCGGTTATTCCAGTTCGTATTGGTGTGAGCGACGGCGAGTATTGAACATGCAGGGCAAGTGTTGGAACACGAAAGGAGGATCCAAAAGGGACTGCTTTCTCGCACGACTCGGAGGGATCCTGTTTAGATGGACGACGCTTAGGTGGAGCCCTTGGGATGTATCATCTTGGAAGTCTGGCAGAAAGATCAAGAGAGTCAAGACTGAGCTCCGAGTCGGACTTGAGTATGGACTGCACCAATAATTCAATTCATTTTTTTCCTCTGACTGTGTCGGATGAGCCTGGGCTTCTGCTATTGTAGCAACATTTTTGCAGGTCAACGAAGAGAAAAGACCAGCGTACCAAGTAGAAGTACCAGTCGTCAGCGATCGATTGTTGAGCGGCGTAGAAGCAGAAGGCAGGAAGAAAACCAGCAACATGAGTCCTCTGACCCTAATTTCAGCTTGGTAATTCTACCGCGATGCATACCCATTGTATGGACTCTTGGGCGGGAGAACATAGCATGCAGCGCTAACGCCACCAACAGCCAATTACGACGTCCATCTGCGGCGAAAGAACGGTTAGCACGCACGCTCGCCGCGGCCAGGGGGTATTCTTGCGCAGCGTCCGAGGCTTTTGCTGGGACAAGCACGAGGCTCTTGAGACGCAGGGGAGAAGTGCAAGGGGCTAGACCACGAAGGTACTTGGTTGCATTCCCACCGAACTTGCTTCCTGTCAGTGTCTGCCCAGATTAGCTTCATTTCCGTGTACAGCATCGAGGGCAGGTCGAAGAAGATGATGACACAGAAGTTCATTTAGACTGGTGAGGTCATGGTGGGTGGTAATTCACCGATTCGTCCCACTGGTATGTCCTGCAACATGATGCCACCGGCAACACGCCTATTGAAGGAGTCGATTCGGCGGGGAACATGGACGCCGGGTGCAGTGCGTTCAATGTCGAATACCAAGTACAACAGATGCTCCCACTCCACAGAGAGCTATGCACCCACGAGCGTCAAGGACGCCGAGTGAGCAACATGATGATGACTCGAGCGGTGAGTCAGTGACATAGCAGTTTTGAAGAACTCGGAGTTTGAAGATGCAAGGTCGCTAAGAATGTCTTTTGCCGCACATGTTTTCATGTCGTTGGAGCATCCCGTGCGGGAGACCGGTTGTCGTTCATGCACGTTCATGTCGTGGACCAAGGAGGATGACGTGTACTGTGAGTCACACCGTGACGGTCGCGAATAAGTAGAGATTCGAAACCACAAGGCCTCAGGCCAATGTTTTTAGCCAAGGCTACATGCCACGGACTCGTTAGACTTGTAGAAGCAGCTCTCTTGCTCCCATCAGCTGTGTGCGGATTTGGCTCTGATGAATCATGATCCCAATAATCTGGATTCTGGAGTGGTGACGTTGACTCGCAGGACCCAGACCTGACCCCATGTGCGTCTTCACGGCTCCCTTTAGCCTTATACTTGCCCCGGCTGGGTCTCGAAAATCGTCTACTTGTGAGGAATTCCAGACCAACACTGGCAACAAATTTAAACAGGTACAAGTACTGGATCCCATTTGAATCCATTGCCTACTGCCAGACAGTGCCAGTGTAACTCACACTAGACTATAGGAGCACTTTCAACGGTATCTGCGCATGCTTCAGCAATCTAAACTGGCAACCACCTGGCACCGATGCCTACATTCGCAGCTCGCGGCAGCGCGCAGGTTATATTTGTTGGTAATACTGATTTACTTTGGCAACCTGTACCATCGCGAGCATATCTGGTCGCCGGCGACCACATTGACTCGCTGCCAATGAGCGTATGTCTTATACTTATCCTATGGCCTTTGGCAGTCTGTTGTTTCGGTTTGGCATCATAATCAATGTGGACGCTGGCGTTGCATGTTGCGGTGCGTAAAGGATTTGTGCAACTGATAGTATCCTTCGAGGGCTTTTCATCTTTGGTTGTCGTCTCATGATAATTCAGGGGCAAAATTCCGGCCCACGTCAGCGTCACGCGTCACACGCATCCTCCGGCTTTCTTCCTCCCTTCCTTCCTGGCCTCTGCGCGCCGCTATTCTTGCTCGGTCTGCTCTACGTCGTGGTTAGTCATCGGGATGCACACCTGCTTTGTACCGTTTCCAATGAAAACCTTTAGAGCATCGTGAGAGGACGCGGATAGGATGGCCCACTACGCTCGACCAGACGCTGGAGGTGGAGCGCCGTACTTCAACGTCTGTACCTTTGCCCCCGCTCTCACACGGTTTCACAACCTCGGGCTCACGTTGTGCATGTTTAGCCTAACCACAATCAAGCATACGCGCCACCTCCCGCACACATGAACGACTACGCTGCAAATACATACTCCCACCCCCATCACCACGGACCGTATCCCCAACCACCACCACAGTCACCGAATGGCCACCCTCGGTCTTATCAGCAACAGTCCCCAAGAATGGCCTACCGCAATGTCCCGCCTTACCCAAACGCCTCCTCATCTTCCTCATCCCCCATATCACAACATGCTCACCCTCTACCGAAATATCCACCCCCTCAACCATACGCCGTGCCAGTCCCCGGTCCACCACCAAATGGTTGGGTTCAGCACCCTCAAAACATAACTCCCCAACTTCTCTCCCCCATCCCACAAAATGCATATTCCGGAGTTGGCTTAGGGCTGCAGATACAAGGCGTACCACAATCGCAATCTCATTCGGGAGCACAGCCGACGTTGTTCCCCCCGCCTGCCATAGTGTCGTCCTATCCCACACCCCCACCAGAGACGACAACCGAAGAGACGACGGATGAAGGCCCCGATCCACAGGAAATGGAAGATGGGCTAGCTTCATCTTCGCAATATCAAGGAGCGGAGGAGGAACAACAGTCGACATCGCCCCAAACACACGCTCCCGTCCCGATATACCCTAGCATCGTGCTCTCTCGCCGACACCATCGACCAAACGACCCGACTCGTGCGCCAGGTGTCATGATCTCACCCAGGGCACGCCCACCGCAAGAGGTCATCGACAGGGTGGGTGTTTGGGACGAAGAAGAAGAAGGACTTCTTTCGAGCGGGTTAGAGGAAGAGGTTTCCATTGACGAGATTGAGAAAAACGAGGAAGTGGTGCCAGCAGACCCGGGAATACCGATAGCGGTAACAGTACCACCAGTCATCCTATCCGCATCTTCGCCTCCTTTGTCAACGACGGATGATTGGGACATCGCTCCTCCGGCATCAGCATCGGCTTCGCCATCCCACATTACCATATCAATTCCCTCATCTTCGCGGGTATCTACACCAACGCCTACTTCATCTGCGCCGCTCGTCTCTCCCACAACAGCTTCCACGTCAGCACCAGCACCAGCACCTCCGCAAATCAAAAAGTCGTGGGCCTCACTGTTTAATGCGTCATCCCCGAATTCGAGCTCGTCTGCAGGGACAGCCTCGTCAACAACAGTCAGTGATAGGGCTCGTCTTCCTACATCGAGCGTGGTGGGATTTTCGGTGCCTGCGGACCAACCCTTGCTCGGGAATTTTACCGCCATCTCTAGTAATTCTGTCGGTGACGGTGTTTCCAATTCGCTGCCTCCACCCACCCGAAATGCGCTTCTGGCGTTGCTTTCTGGAACCCCTAACGAGCCCGTCCAACCAACTTCACCTACAGTACCAACTTCCCCCACAATTTCTATAAAACCAACCCCCGTCCGACTACCTCCTGCGCTAACACCACGAGGATTGATCAATACAGGCAACATGTGCTTCGCCAACGCAGTTCTGCAAGTCCTCCTCTGCACGCGCGCGTTCTATGGACTCTTCGAAAATCTGCAATCCGTGCTGGGCGAGCAGGCCTTTTTGGGGGACAGAAATGGGGAGGAGTTTCCTGCAGTTAACGGGAATGGCATCCAGAAAAAAGAAGAGAAAGATCAAGGCCCTCTAGGCCCCGCCCCACTTGTCCGCGCGACGGCAACATTTTTGAAGGAGTTCGTGAGGAATGGGAAGGGTGGTGGTGCGAGAGGCGGTACACGGACGATGACGAATAAGGGAAAGGCACGAGCAGACGAGCAGCAGCTGGAGGAAGATGGCGAGGCGTTCATCCCGACGATGGTGTATGATGCCCTCAAAGGCAAGAAGCGGTTTGACGGAATGAGGGTGAGTTTTTCGTGCCTTTTCTCATTCGTTATCTCCGGTTCTTTGTTCTATTCTTTCCTCTCCTTCTTTTCTCCCATTTCCTCTATCTCCATCGCTTCATCCCTTTTCGTTCTTATGCTTGTTCTCCCTGCTATTTCCTTGTTTTCTAAGCAAAGACAATAACCTTACTATGTCATCCAGGGCGGGCAGCAAGAAGATGCTGAAGAATTTCTTGGGTTCTTCCTGGACACGCTAGAAGAGGAATTATTGGCAGTCGCTGCGTCATTAAGGAGAGATACAGCTGATACCTCTGGGATCACTGCGACAAGCCAGAAGCCAGCAGTGCAGGAAAAGGAGGAGCCAGACGTGGCAGATGCAGAAGACGGGTGGTTGGAGGTCGGGAGAAAGAATCGGTCAGTGGTGACAAGAACCGTAAGTCTTTTGACATTGTTAGTACTCCTTTCCGTTGACACGGCTGTAGATCGAGTCAACGGACTCTCCAATAACGCGAATATTTGGGGGAAAGTTCCGGTCTACCTTGAAAACGCCTGGTCAGCGCGATTCGGTAATTGTAGAGGATTGGAGGGCGTTAAGGCTGGATATACAGGTGTGTGCCTATGTTGTTTTTATGCTGACTTTTGCTAATGTTTCGATTTTCAGCGTGACGGAATCCATACCGTAGAAGATGCATTGGCTCTCATCTCACAACCTTCGACACTGCAAGTAACACACGTCCCTTCCTCCACCAACAACACTGCCTCTTCCCAACCAAACCCAACACCACAACTGCTAACAGCGTCCCAACAAGTCCTTATTGAAGCGCTCCCTCCCGTCCTTGTTCTGCATCTGAAACGTTTCTGTTATGACGCAGAGCTCACATCTGTCGTCAAAGTCGGCAAGCAGATCGCTTTTGGGCCGGAGTTGGAGGTGCCGGAGGGGGTTATGAGCCCCGGGCTGAAACAGCGGCTGGCAAGCGCAGGCGGAGTGAAACCACGGCGGACGGCAAGATACAAACTCTTCGGGGTCGTATATCACCATGGCATGTCCGCTTCAGGTGGCCACTATACTCTCGATGTCCTCCATCCAGGCCGGGCTCCGGCGTCAGCCGGCCCGGTGCCCGTGGGGTCCTACTCGGCTGTCGCGGGGATGAATACGCCAGCAAGCGAGGGCGCGTGGGTGCGCATCGACGATGAGCTCGTATCTGATGTGAGACCCGCGGATGTGTTTGGTGCTGCTGCGCCTGTGTCGGGAAGCGGGGCGTGGCCGACAGTGGGAGCGAATGGGAAGACTGTCAAAGGTGGGAGGGTGCAGAGTGTCGAGCGAGAAGGGGCGGATGACAGCGGGAATGCGCGGTGTGCGTATCTACTTTTTTATCGCCGGGTAGGCTAGACACAGGAGTGCTTCGTGCCAGATTCATTGTTTTTACTGTGCATGTACATATATGTTCGTCGTCACTGACCTTGCTTTGGTGCATTATCAAGTACGCAGTACTGTTCGCAATGGCATGGGCACCACAAATGATTTATAACTTGAAGTATCGTAAGTGAAAGGTCGCTCTGCAAATGAATTCGCACTCGCTCTACTTTCATCATTCATTTGATACATGTCCACCTGGATGCGTTGTGGATGCGCCATAACACTCCTTCTGGCATCAAACCACTGGGTCTAACAGCGACACATCGTATCATTCTTCCTCATCGCCATCCTGGTCCTCCCTCTCAATAAGGCATCGCGGAAGCAACATGCTCAAGCACATATCATCACAAGAAGCAGAAGGATTGAGAAGATCTGCTGATTACCTGCTGGTGGCTGTCGATACCCTGCATTTCTAACTGACGGAAATTTAGCTGGCACTTGAAATCAAGCTTCTTGCAAGCAATTGACAGCCATCTCAGGCCTCTCTCTCTCACTCATGCCTCCACTATCTCGAGTCTTGAGCGCACCTAGCGTCCACAGCTGGTGGTCTGACTCAAATCCAACTGGCGCTAGCCTCAATCTGCATGCAGCCGCCAAACCACTTCTCCGATTTATGTATGCAAATGAGGTGTTCAAGCTTATGGAGGCCCATCCCTCCTGGGCTACCGCCCTTACCGACAATATTCTGAACATCTATCTAAGCTACCTTGGGTAAGAAATCATTTGGTCAGATGGCAAGAATTTGAATCAACCTTCTCCCAGATCCCCCTATGTTTCCAGATCTACCAAATGTGCCATACTCCAGCATTTTACAGGAAGAATGATCTCTTTGCCCCATTGTGCCCATGACTCCAAGCTCTTGGTGCAGTGGGCTAATTCTTTCCAGGGTCATGCAGTGTTTGAGGCTCTTTTGTCACATCCTCAGACACAATACCAGGTGCTGAGGTTAGTAGGCCAAATCTGTGAGATGGATCTTCCACTCTCAGCAGACCTTCTGGTCAGATGTACAACTACATTGTTCTTGATGAGAAAGTGAGTTATCCAGTGGATTATGATTATTTAATAGTTATCATGCAAAATAACTAAAAATTTGGTAGTTCCAATTGGGATAAAGAGCTAGCTGCTCAGATCTGTCACTCTGATATAGGAGCCCAACTTGTAGCAAGAAATCTCCCAGCTCTACATTCAAATAAGGCCAAAGATTTGGCCTATTGTCTAGTTAAAATGCTATTACTACAATGGACATTTCCCCATATATGTCAAAGCATTTCATCACAATATGATCAACAACCTACACAAGACTTGTAGTATGTTGCTCAATTTATTTATTTATAGTTTGCTAAACACTATGGTAGTCATGCTTTTGAAATATCTAGTGCAATGAAGGCATTGAAACAGACCATCTCTGCTGCTTTTGAGACAGCTGTTGACTATGCAAAGATTGTCTATATAGCTCCCAATATACTCAATATCAACTCAAGGGAGCCTGTCACTACAGAATTTGCATGCAGATATGTTGCAATACTTGAATCTAAGGAAGACCATCAATGGCCTATTGAACATTGTATCCATCTACATAAATGTCTGGTAGAATTGTCCTGGTATGTTGTCTGACCAATTCTTGTTGTATCATCTAAATATTGAACAAATTTTAGCCAAGATAATATTATGGATAATTTGAAAAATATCAGTCAATGGGCACTTGGGATCTTCAACAATACTGTTTATCTATTGGAAGAAGATGATGATGATGATGAGGAAGAGGAAGTAGAAGATCTGGAAGATTATATGAGATTGCTGGTTTCACACAAAGCAGAGATGAAGCCTATTGAAATCTTAGTCACTGTTGAAAAAAGGATATCAGAGATTTAAGTAGGCCTGTATCACAAAAATTGTAATTTTATATTATATTTTTCATGATATAGACAAATATCAGAAGTGAAAGTACTGGGTGACTTCCCATAAGGGAAAAGAAATTGGATGCAATTTCCGAGCGGTGCCAATCTGTCACTTTTTAGCTGAAAATTCATATTTGAAAGATAGTGGCTTCCTATAAGAATAAATGCTTTTGGATGCAATGATCGAGATCATTCTAAGGCTTCTCACAAGTGTCACAGATAAATACCTGTACTCTACCTGTGGGTAATCTAGGCTTCAAAACCAATACCTGTATTTGCAGCATCTGTGGGAAATGGGTACCTGTACTCATGGATACAGGTACCTGCATGGGTTATCCACAGGTATTTGGAACAAAATATCAGGACACTGAGGTATATTAACAATATTAACAGCTTATATAGGATGTAGTATCAATAAACTGATATGGACACTACAGGGTATGAGAAGACTGTAGTGACTGAAATATATATAGAAGATAATGAGAATTAGGATCTTCCAAAGTCACACCTGTACTCTTGGCATCCGTGGAAAACAGATACCTGTATCCGCGGATGTCAAACCCGCAGATGTTTTCCTGCAGGTACCTGTGCAAACATCCACAGGTATTGACACTCATGCAGAGCTTTAGATCATTCCATTACCAAACAACACATCAACACTTGACTATTATGAAAAGGCCAGCGACAAGCTGCACCAGCAATAACATAGCACATTCTAGCACTAGTAGTCGCAGCCACAAGCACAACTATGCTATGTTTTCTCACCTCGAGTGAGATGTGGCAGTGTGACACATCTGATAATCTGTGACAGTGATTGTAGTTGTCCTAAAACAGTAAGTTTTCATGATGGAGGCAAGAAAACAGTTTATTCAGGGGGGTCCTGACCCTCTGAATAAATCTAAGCATATTGGAGGCCCAAATGGGGATTTCAGTCTGATGGGGTCCTGATGGGACCCCCGGCATCTCGGCAAAGGGGGTTTATTCATGCAAAAACAATTAATTTTATCTTATGGGAAGTCATCCACTTATAATATATCAGGTATTAAAAAGCCATTGTTTTTAATTGTTATGTTACACTGTTACAGGGGATGAATCACATATAATAATTGCTCATAAATAGTGGTGATACAAAGTAAGTCTTTATATAATTCTGTGACTAGTAAATCTAGTAATATTCTGATGTGGACCTTCATTTCTGCCAAGTCAGGTCTATTTTTCACAGCATCTATCAATCAATCATCAGATAAAGTTGCTAAATTAGCTCTGTTTCAAGTCTCTGTGACTACTTCAGAAATGAATTCTACTTTGTGATGTCCTTTAGGCAGCAACCTATGATTGCTGTAATTTACAACTCAATACCTTCTTAACAACCATTGAAACCTCATCATTACCATATAGCAAGATCACATAAAGATTACTAATCAAGAATATGATATATCATCCAATTTGCCAACTATACTGCTTAGTGCTAGGTATCAGCAGATGAATTTAAAAAATTACAGTGCATTAATCAGAATTTTATTCCTGAAAAGTGCAATCTCAAGGTAAAAGCATCTCAAATATATTATTTTCATGTATACTTTGTCATGAACCAACACAAGATGCCAAAACTCAGTTTTTTCCCTTGTCTCTCTATACTAGTAGTTACACTTGTTTTGTCTGATAATCTACATTAACTTGTCTTTTTTTTCGACGATGTACATGTCTGATGATACAGTATTCGGTTATGCAGCAACGAACAGCAGGGTGGGAACATGCGTATGAAGGTCACAAGGGCGACGAGGGCGAGAGCGAATCGACGAGGGTGCGATATTCTTGGGCTGTATATTAGCTATTTGCATCAGGTCCGACTACGACGCACCCTGGCAGGCGCCTTTCACACCGCCCATAGCCGAGATCTGAGCGGCCTCTGTCGTCCCGCGAAGCCCTTCGTTTTTCGCGCGCAGCTTGTCAGCAACTTGCTGGTAGTGGATAGTGGCGGCCTTGAGCTCGGCCCAGATGGCGCGGATTGCGTCTTCAGAGGTAATGTAGTCGGCGAAGAATTGCGTGAAGGCGGTTTCACTAAATATCTATGGGTCGGATGAATATGGTCTGCAAACAGACGCACAGGTCCGTGTAAGCAGCAACGGCGGCTTCCGCGCTAGCTCCAAGCTGCAAAAAGGGGATTAGATCGTCCCTTCCTAGTGCCATTGAGAGCAGGTACCGCCAACTCACCTCGTTGTTCAGCTTATTCTTGGCCGCTTGAATAAATTTGCGTTCTTGTTCTTTGCGTTTCTTCTCCTTTGACGCTGCGATGTCATGAGAAAGTGCAATCTTGATCGCCTGTGCGACAAAGAATAGAGAGTCGTACCCATAAGCTGCTGCGCCACAGCGAGTTGAAACCTGCGCAGGTTCCAGGCGTCAGCAAAGCACAGACAGCAGGTCCGAGCACTGAAGCACGCACGTCTGGTCGTCGCTGCCGGTCGAGCCTTGCGATGCGGTGAGGAAGTCAAAGTCATCACCGGTGCTCTTGGCGGAGTCGGCTCGGCGCAGACGATTAGCAGCAGCGTTGGCGCGTCGTTGAGCCATGGTGGTACGATCGACGAAGTGTCACGTCTCGTGATTCAGATTATTTTGTGACGTCTCGCGAGTAAGTAAGTAGTAGAAATATGATTGAGCCAATCGATTTGTTGATATGTACTGGATATCGATCATTATGTGCTGTAAAGATACTTGCGGAACAGCCGAACTCTGTCGTCCTCCAAGTGAACATGCTCCACCTACTAGTACATATCCGAGTCGCGCTGAATCGCTGAATCCGGATCGGAACGTCTTCTTAATTTTCCTGATCAAGTCCACATGTATACACAGCTCCCAAGCGGAGAGCATGTGTAGGTTGAAGTACCGCACTGGTGTACAAGGTCTTCTATGTACAAGGGAAGACCCGGAAGAGATTGTTATAACTAGAGTTGACTGTCCAATCGAATGCGGAGTGAGAATAAATGCTGTACAGTATACGTGATGCAATAGTAATAAAAGTGTCCCAATCCCAAAATAAACCAAAATACCAGCGAGGGTTACATCTCTCCGCATATTACGACCGGCGCCGACGGACGGCCCTCCTATCGCTGGTCCACAGAGACGGTAAGGCGGCGCGGAGGGCCTATGCCAGCGCCCCCCTTCTGTAGCTCACAGCGCACCAAAGATGATGCAAAGCCGTTTAAGATCGGCAAGGCGAAAGCGGAAGACGGAGATATGAGTGCCAAGTGCCGCGCCACAGTCCATTTTCCCGCCCCGGGGGAAGAAGGCCTTGCCTGTCATGGTGAATTGTGGTCCGGATGGTCAGATGTAGAGGCCGTCGAGAGAGTCGTCACGGTGGGCGATGTTGGCACTGGCCTATCGACAACTCTGGCGCCCGGATTCTCCTGCTTCTCGTCGCTGGTCGGATGACTGACACCATCCTCGGCTGTATAAGATGGCGGTCTTGGCGCGTAAGGCGGAGGTGGTTGCCAGGACTCCCTAGGAATGCTTGGACGCATCCAGACAAACCATCGGCCGACCATCGCTGTGCGCAACCGCTCAGAAGGTGAGGCGGACACTGGTCGCATCCGTCTGCCACTGGTGTGTGGCTGTCGGCGGCACTTGACGATTCCAAATGCGATAGCACAACCACAGAGTACGGCGAGCAGGACGGCAGCTATGATGAACGGGACTGGGGAAGTGTTGCCGCCATTGTCAGGGAGGTCCGGTAGAAGGGTTGATGTGGGGAGTGAGGATGAAAGGGTAGAAGAACTCGAAGAGGATTCGGTGCTTGTGAACGGCGCAATGACAGCAGAAGGCAGCTCCTCACTAGCACTAGAGCTCACAGGTTCGACATCTGCAGCAAAGTTGTGGAATCTTGTGTGTGATATAGGAAACGGCGAGCGATGAGGATGGGCCGTCAGAACTGCAGCGAGCGAAGGTCTAGCGGGTAGGAAAGTCAGCTCATGGGGTTGAAGTGAACGGGCAGACGAACAAAAAGAGCGAGAAGGCAACAGCAGCCAGGGACATAGAAGTTGGGGGTGATGGAAAGGGGAGACAGACGAAGTAGAAATGTTCTCCATATCTACCGAACGGGATCCTCTGACCGCAGTCGAGACTGGTCTCACGCCGACGACGCGTATCATCGGACCGCTGATGGTCGGCTTCTCAGCGCGGGAATTGCGCGTCACGGTCTGTGACCATGACTCCTGTTCCCTCTAAATTCCCTCGACGCAAGTTACACAATTCAGTCAGTCTCATCGGGAAGTTACAATTTGGGACCGTTATAAGCACGAGGCCCGTCTACAACCCAACCGACTTTTACGTGGATTCTCATCTCCCAAAGGGACTTCGACCACGCCGGCGCCAAAAGACACTCATTTGTCAACTCCAAGACGAAATGCAGCAGATAAACTCGCATCCTCGTGTGCACTCGTAGGCCGCCTCTCTTCCCCCTTGTACCATGTCCAACGATGCTCCAGTCCCGTTCTCAAGCGTGAGCAGCAATGATACACCACTCTTCAGTTACCCGCCAGACTTCGTACTCCGCTCCAGTGACGGCTTCGACTTCCATGTGCATCGAGAGCTTTTGAGGCTCACCTCTGGCTGCTTCGAGGGCATGTTTGTTGTGTCTCGCTCCAACGCTGGCAATAGCAACGACGTTGACTCCGACCCTCAACAACGGACCGAGGATGGCAAACCCATCGTCACCCTCACCGAGCCGAAGAGCGTGCTCTATCGCCTGCTGTCTCTTGCCTACCCGGTCGTCTCCATCAACCCCCTTTCCCTCACCCGCGCACAAGACCTCGACAACATCACTGCAGTATTTCAGGCTGCGGAGAAATACCAATTCACGCACATCCCGCGAGTCCTCGAACAGATGCTCGACAAACCGCAGCTCATTGCTCTTTACCCATACCGCATGTTCGCCATTGCCCGCGTTTGTAACTTGACGGCGCTCGCGCATAAGTGCGTTCTGGCGACCCTCAATGGCGGAGCAGAGGCATTGAACGTCACATTTCCCGAAATGACGCTGCTCACATGGGACGACGCGCACAAGGTTAACAAGTTCCACCAACAGTGCTCCGTGCTGGCAAGCAACTGCGCCCAGTCGATGGGCCGTCTGCATCTGAAGCCTGAGGCGGCGGATAACGTGATCAACTGCTTGATTAACCCGCAAACCGGGACCGACTACGTCTGGTGGACCTGCAAGGGCCATAATGATTACTGTTCTGGAAAATATTTCGGGGGTTCGAGTGTCAGCTCCCGTATCTCGACGGTCACGAAGAATTCGGCAAAACGCGCGTCATCATTCTTCAGTCGTGGACCAGAGCTGGTGGAGCCGCATGCGATGTGGTTCCGCAGTCATATCAAAGGTGTTCAGGAACAGCTGCTCATCAGGCCGACCGATGTGAGCATCGTTCTAGCACTGAAGGAAGAGGACAAGTCGACGATCAGCTCCTGTCGGCTTTGCTCTAAGCAAGCGCAGAGCGATCTGCTCGACTTGCAGGTCGTGTTAACGCAAGAAATCACCAATATGCATGGACGTCTTGGTGAGTACAAGTTCCCTTTTCTTCAAAATGGGACTCATCCTATGCCATTCAGCAAGAGCGATGTTCTCATGAATGTTACATCACTTACAGTACATGTTCTCCCCCCCCCACACTGTGTAAAATTAGCAACTTGGAATCAGCGACTACCGTCTACTTCATGCAAAATACTTGGAAATTCGAGTTTAAGTACTTGCCTATTACATTCGCTGCATTAGTCATGCAGCGGTAGGATGTCGCTCGTCGTGGTCGCAAAAATACGACCAAGACCCCGCTACCGTGACCTACTGTCACAAAGATTAATAATCGCCAGTTCTTTGCTTTGCTCCAACCTGGTCAACCATTCCTTCGTGTTTTGTGCTAGCGCCGTCGTAGTAAGAGGATCTTCGATGCTGCCGTCCCGCCTATCCGTGCTGACATAGACACAGCGTGAGCTCTAACCATGACTCGACCAGTCGCCGGCGATGGTCCGCAACGATGTCACCGATGAAGGTATTAGGCTTATAGCTTTCTGTCAGTCTCCTGTCACCACAGTATTGAGCTCGGAGCAGCGCTCAGGCTGCGTAACCGAAGACCGACTGCCGCTTAGTTATAAGCATGGCTCAAACACTTTGAAGCCGGACTACTCCTCCAACTTCTGCCTCGAAATGGGTGTGCTTCAAGTCGGAAGCTTTGTTGCACTCATAGCCACCGCTGTCCTGGCCGCTCGGCCGGCTGTCACTATCAAGAACGGGACACTTGTGTGCGTTATGCTTTCGCTCTGCTTCCGCCATTCAAGTTCTAACGCAGCATGTATCTATAGCGGAGCAGACCTTCCTCAGAATGGACAACATCTATTCCTCGGCATCCCATATGCTCAGCCTCCTGTTGGAGCCCTCCGCCTGCGACCGCCACAATCGATGTAATGGCACCAACTTTGTCTCCTCGGCTCCAAACATTGATTTGGTCTCTTAGAAACTTGTCGTTTGGTCAACTCGATGCCACACAATATGGCCCCCATTGCTGGTGAGTCTTCAAAAGCAGCCAACCGAGTCAACTTAGATATACCCCAGGTCTGCGTTTACGACTGGCTTTGTCTGCAGTGTTCCCGCTTCAAACGAAAGACTTTCTGACTGGCAGTAGGATGATAACTCTGGTTTCGAGCAATCCGAGGACTGCCTTACCCTGAATATTGTCCGCCCATCGAGTGTTTCGGAGACGTCGTCTGTTCCCGTGCTTGTTTGGAGTAAGTGCTTTTATATTGTAATTTGTAGCGTCCACTGACTCTGTGGCGCTAGTTCATGGTGGTGGTCTTGTATGTGCATTCGTGCTCAAATATGTGCCTTACGATCCTGAATCCTTTGTTGAAAGACCGAGAGTGGAAGCGTGCGTCTTGCTCACATTGACACTATCCTAGAATCATGCTAATATGTACCCAGGGTGACTATCGTTTCAATGGAACATACCTCGTTGAAGCCTCCGTCGCAAACGGTCATCCTATGATCTTTGTCTCGATGAAGTAAGTATCAAATTGTGGTCTTTCTTTGCGCTGGGCTCATCTCGTCGTAGTTATCGTGTTGCTTCATTTGGTTTCCTTGCGAGCTCAGAGCTTGAGAGCGAGGGCTCTCTTAACTTGGGAATGCGAGACCAGCGGTTAGCACTACACTGGGTCCAGGAAAATATCGCAAGATTTGGCGGAGACCCGAGGTACTGACTTGTGTCATCTTTTATCATTTACTTTAACCTCTCGCTTCTAGGAAAGTGACAATACAAGGAGAAAGGTGAGGTTTTTGCTTGATGACATTCCGAGTCCCTTTTCTTATGGGATTCAGTGTACGTATTTGAAAAGCTCGCGATGTTTTTCGAGACATTTTACAGGCTGGAGGCATCGTCATATTCACCCACCTAGTCGCTTTCTCTGGGAGGGACGACAACCTCTACCGCCAAGCAATAATACAGAGCGGTGTAACTCCCGGCGACTTTCCTTCGGTCTCTCAAGCGCCAATTGTCGAGACGACATTCAATAACCTTCTCTCCTCGACAAGCTGCTCCGGTACACTCAACGGAACTGCTTCAGAGAAGCTCGAATGCGTGCGGGGACTACCTGTTGCTGAGTTCAGGCAAGCGTCCGCTGGAGTTACGGGAATGCTCTTCGACGGGGACATGATCAACGTTGTCAACCCGTATGCAGCTATCCGGGCCGGCAACTGGACCAAAGTTCCTTTACTAGTTTGTGTTTTCTTCATTTGCTGCCTCTACAATTGACAATTGACAGGTCGGCAGCAACACCGATGAGGGGATAGATTTCTTTCTTCCCGGTGCCAACACCACCGCTGAGGCCCACGATGCAATGTCACCCCTGCTAACCAACTCCACCCAACTCGATGCGTTGTTCCAGCTCTACCCTGATATCCCAGCACTGGGCAGTCCCTTCAATACTGGGGATGCGCAAATGAGCCCCCGTTCAGCTCGGCCATTTCATCACCCCAGGGACACAAAATAAACGCGTGGCTGCAATGACGGGCGATATCTTTATGGCCGCGTAAGTGCGGTATCGGGCTGCATATAAATGGAAATACTGACTTTTACTCAGAGGACCACGCTTATTGGCACGGCTCGTCTCAAAGCAAGTGCCGTTTTACAAATATCGGTACAGTTTGAGCGCGATAGAGCCAACTCTCTCCTGATTTCGCTATAGCTTCAATCATCTCCCCTACGACGTTACCTTTGGAATAAGTGAATATATTGGGCATTTCATGGAGGTATGTACCCTTTTCCTTGCGCGTCAATTGTGCGCTTAACTATTCCAGATGGCCTATGTTTTCAATACGCAGAACAATTTGTGCTTGTTTCCACTCTGCTGGTAAATTGTCCTCTTACAACGCAACAGCACCGAGTTTTTCATCACCAACCACGGCACAGCGACATACCTAGGCCCTGGCGCGCCGATCGCGGACCGCTTCTTGGGGTTGTACATGAGTCGTTCGTGGGCTGCGTTTGCTGCCACCGGCGATCCCAATAACGCCAATGGTTTGTTTATGGAGTGGTTTCTCGGCCCAGTCTGATTGCTTCCCTATATTCACAGTGTCCAGCAAGATTCGTTGGCCAAAGTACTCCGTCAACGCAGAGAATCTTGTTTGGCAGACGCAAGGATCGATAATCGAAAAAGACGTGAGTGCTTAGTCGCCCTCGATGGACTGCTGACTTATTACGCACAGAATTATCGACAGCAGCAAATGGAGTACATCATCGAGAACCTGTTTGTCTAAACACAGTAAGGATAAGTTTGGATACACAATAGAAACACAATACAGTGATAAATAGACCAGTACCAATAAATAAAGGGTGGTATGTGAATGTGAAGTCAAGGGAATACGAAAACGGGTCGAGTAACATAATTCAAGTTTGAAGGGACTTGAGAGGATTTCCATTGCTCGTTGAGTGAGCGGAATTTAGAGAAGCTTTTAGTCTTGCTCGCAATCCTTTCTTCTGACCCGTGAAGACAGTCGTTCACACTCCAGGCTCGAAGCATGCGAGGAGTGTCCTGCAATGGCAGATTGAAAATTTGAATTTTTGACATCGAAGACATTCTTGTGGTGCTGACAACATAAGTCAAGATGAGCGTGCAGTAAAATCTGAAGGTATATGCAACAACGGTCTACCATTGTTAGTGAAAGAACGAGGTACGAAAGTACGAATACGTACCCTCCAATCTAACCCCATCTTCTATTGACTTCAGTTCGGCCTCCACAACCCATCTCCAGTCCATGTCCTTCGGGTATATCTTCTACATTGGTTGAGGACAGGGATGTAGCTTGACCGCGCTGACGATATTGAGATTTCAAGTAGAACAAGATGCGCCGTGGTAAACTTGAGGGGAGATAGCTCAGAGGTCGACCTTACTATGGGCGTGGCAGTCCATGAGGCGTGGTTGTGGGCAGAGCCGGATGTCCTTGAATGTCAATTTGCTGGATTGAGTTGTAACGAGAAGACTTTGCTCTTTAATATAGACAACATACTATAGGTGCTTCTTCTCCACAGTACCACCGCCTCTGGTAGACACGTCGTAAATGGAGCGCTGCGTCTGAAGTAGGCGGGCATGGGCTGTGGAGCGCAAAGATGCTGAGCCTCAGGTTTTCATTTGCATGGGGATGCGGCTGGAGAAGCAGGACTATATGGAGGTCAGAATCAGACGCCATCCGGTTACGCAACTCCACGCGCCATGACACTAAGTAGCTCAACAACTGTCTCGTTTCCTGTCTCTGAGTAATTGTTGGTCCAGCTTGAGTGCGATGTTCGGCAACTTGAATGGGCTTGAGGCGAGGGCGAAGAGAAAGAAGGAAGGGCGGTCGTGCACGTAAAGGTCCCCGATAGGAAGCCAGCCAGAAGCCAGCACACGATGAACGCTTGAGAATGGCGGAGGCGGAGCCTGAGACCGTCAAGTTGATGGCGCGGTCACGCTTGCGCGCTCAACGTCAGCTTCCTTATTCTCCTCTTCAGAACACGGTGGAAATGCCCCGCAAGCGCGGAGTCAACGCGGAGTGCTGCTCTTTGCATACTTTATACGGCTAGGAGCCTTCTCATAGATTCGACGTTCGCTACCGATCATCGCTCAGCCTTGCACCCTCCCAGCCATCTGGAGCATGGTATCTAAGACCACTTTGTGGCCGGGTAGTCCCTCAAGCTTACTTACTGTCAGGGACCATGCATATCCTGCGCAACCATGGCGATTTTTCAGTCTGCAGCGTCTCCCTCATTCGCTTCATCACCCGTGGCTTGTGGGGGTAGGGATCTTCTGCCAATATTAATGCCGCAGCTGCCGCATGACGAGGATGATTGTCAACGCCAATCCTCTTTTTCCTGCCCGCGAATTTCGACAAAATTTCGAAAGCAGTTTTGACCGCGCTCTTGCATGACGGTGCATCCACTCCTCGGCCTCGAATCGCTGGCCAGTCTTCCTGCGCCTGTTCGTGTGCGTATATCTGAGTCGTTGTCTCTCTTAAGCCGAATCTCACAGCTTTTCAGCGACAGGCAGGCCAAGCTGCAGGTGGATCAGTGGCCGCATGGGAAGAACTATACCTGAAGATCCGCAGACTCGACGCCAACTCCCTATTACTTTACCTCCCTGTCGTCTACGAGAACCTCCATCCTGAAGACCTCGACCAGCTCGGGGGAAACTTCTCCTCTGTGCAATTGGCCTACGGCTGTTTCGTGCTGCTCCTCAAGATGACCAACATTCCCTCTGCCACTTTACCCGACCTGTGGCCGCGGACATGGGAATGGATGCAGTTCTTCGAAGCACACTCGACGCTAGTTGCGCGTCTCGACGATAGCGCAATCATCCAGATCCTCACCAACTTGTTTTTCTCTCTGTCCTTCTTCGGCGCTCGTTGCGCCGTCGATGATCTTACCAATGTCACACCTGGCTTCCATGCTTTTGTTGCACGGTGTTGGACGGGACTCATGAAGTACCCAAATCGGAAATGGGGTTGCCATAGCACGAACGGGTTATGTCTGACCATCGCATGCTACTACAACGATTGCGACAGTGTTGACCGGCTTCTTGAAAGCTTCGATGACTGCCCTGCGACCCTCGCGACTATGCTGACGGCGCACATTGCCGATATATTGGATGACGACGCGACGAGATTCGTGGCAGGAAAGCTCGTTGCGCAAGCACATATTGTCCGGCACCTTGCCGAAAAGCAGTCTGGTGTGCGTGCTTTGGCTGCAGCCGGCGCAGTTGTCGTCATGATAAAGGCACTTAATTCCGCCTGTACGGCCTTCCTCCCACTCTTGGAGCACGAAAACACGATCTATGACATTCTGTCTTGTCTAGCACTAGAGGCACAGCCTACGGCTTGCCGGAACACGCGGGTCAAACGCGTGGCTGACCTCGTACCTACCGCGGGCCAGCCGCGTTGCTAGCGCGGACCCAGAAACAAAGAATTTCTTTGTCCTAGGACAAAGAAAGTTGTCACTGAGCAAGCCCGCGGTAGGTACGCGGTGAGCTCTGCGGCCGGCCCGCGTGTTCCAGCACGCCTTAGGTAATGCCCCCAGTGTAGATCTTTTACTTTCTTCGCGACCATTCTTCCCCGATGCTGCCATTGCTTTCGACAACCACCTTATTCCTGCTTTCAAAGCATGTGCCAGAACGCAATGGACAAGACCACTCCCTGAAGATGCGCTCACAAAATTCAAGTTGATGTTGAGCACGACCCTCCCTGCGGCGATGGTCTACTTTCCCGTCGTCCGAGCTCTCGCCCGTGCCACCAAGGAGCGCCAGCAAGCAAACTGCGAAGATCTATATGAATTTTATGGAACGCCCATTCACGAGGACTATTGTGGTTTTGTGCAACTAGTCAGCGAGCGAGTCGATGACTATGACAAGTTCCAACCTCGACGATCAGCAGAACTGCGGGCTTGTGACAACCACCATGTGTGTCCGGATTTGTTCTTCATCCAAATACTCATCGAGATGTTAGTGCGCCGCTATTCTCTCCTTATCGAAGTTGAGACGATGTGCCCAGTGCCTTCAAGCTTACTATTGTTCCGTCGACTGCCAAACGATTGCGTGGAAGCAGTTGAATGGCCATCGAAACCGATGTTCTTGTGAGTCTATTGCACGCCTTTTCTGCGTCCTTTCATTCTGATCTCGACAAAATAGCACTTGCTTCGTTTCACTCCGACTCCGATATACCGTCCCATCCTTTGCGAAAGCGAGACGACCGGTTCATTCGGCACATCGTCCACCAACATTACCGTCGCCACTCGTTTAGCATCCTGAAACAACAACTCACATACATCCACGAAACCGGGCGGACAGACGGTGTGCTCGAGTTTACACACAACCTGGGAAACCCCAACGACGGTCATCATGAGATCACGCGGGGGCGCATGTCCCAGGAGGCCGCCTTCTGCATGGCCGACGCGCCACCACTTTCGCGCGCTGTCATGTCACCCTGGATGCTGGGGGCGCGGAAAGAACAAGAAGACGATGGTGCGCAAGTATTTGCTCAGGCGGCCGCGAGGCGTTTCCGAGGAGCTGGCAAGCCGGATGATCAAGCTTGCAACTGGGATCAAGGCCGGGGAAGACGTGTGGGATGAGAGGCGTGATGATATCCACAAGAAGCTAAAGGAAATAGCTGCCTTGGACATCGTTGAGGTGGTCTGTTAGTATCTTGGTGCACCTTGATATGTCGTTATTTCCCAGACTCGGTTCCTCCCAGTAATTTTTGTTCAAGTTTTAGTTTAATAGTCAAAATTCTGTAGTCCGTTGTATGAAGAAAGAATACGATTCAGTCCATAAGAGGGAGAAAGAGGGGAGTACTAGTTGTAGTGGAAAGATCCGGGCATTAAGTATTTACGCGCAAGTTCACTCAGAGTATGGCTTGACCATCAGCGGTAGGCTCGACTCCAAATCTGTGGCCTTCGCAGTCGACCTCGGGCGCTGCAGGACGCCTGCAGTGGGGACAATACCACCCGTTGGACCCGCTGTTGGATCGAGCGCAAATTCAAAGGCGCGGATGAGGACAAAAAGAAGCGCCTTGATTCTAGCGCCGAGATCAACATCCATAAAAAGCAAAGAAAGGTTTGAAAACGAACTCGACCAGGGCGAAGCGGAAGCCGATGCAGTTGTGTGTGCCCGCAAAAAAGGTGAGCTGGTTTGCCCACACGTTGGGGACTGCACTTGCGGCGTCCGGTATGTGTTCCCAGCGTTCAGGACTGAGCGGAAGGCAAGATGAGCAACGGGTGGTATCTTGAAAATGGAAATTCCTCACCGAAACTCATTTGCATCGTCGCCCCAGATTTCCGGATCCCGGTTGACGGCGGCCAGGGGGATGAAGATGCGCTGGCCTTTGGGCACCCTGTAAGGTTGACTGTGTCAGCTGGAGATACTCGCTCTTTGGGAAAGGAAGCACGCACAGGAGACTCTCATGCGAGTTTCCCTTTTCGTCGATGTACGGGCTAGCGAGCGGGATAAGATCGTCCTGCATTGCCATGCGTTGCACCGATGTAACCGGGCTGTGGAAGCGCATGAACTCCCGCACGACAAGGTCGAGGTACGGGAGGGCGTTTAGTTCGTCCATGGTGGGATTCTCGGCGGACATCTGGAGCAGTTCTTCGCGAAGAGTTCGTTGGACCTTTGGATGGTGAGCGAGGGCATATAAAGCCCAAGAGACAGCGGTGCTACGAATAATAAGATATCTGGCAACGAAAAGACCATCCGTGGAATGTACCTTGTCGTCTCATGTCCAGCAATCAGGAAGGTCGGAATCTCTGATGAGATCTAATTAGAAAATCCTCTGTGTGTCTGTAACGCAGACTGACGGGAAATAACCTCTTCGTCGCTCAGCCTCTGGCGGGCAGGAACATCCGGATCCACATTGGCACGCAACAGGATCGAGAGCAAGTCGCGTTTCCCTTCCAGGCCCACCTTCGACCCCGCGCCTCTGCTTGCATCAGGGACACAAATCCCAAGCGCGCCTTTGCTTCTGGCAAGAATATCGCTTCCGACTCGGAACATTGTTGCTCGGACTTGGTTAAACGTGCGCAAACCAGGATATGGCTGTCAGATAAGATAAGTTAGCATGATGCGATGGATTTTTAGATTCACGCACTACAAGACTGAGTATAGGCACCATCGACCGTGCAAGGCGATACCCTATTCCCCAACGGGAGCTTGGTGAATGGAAGAGTTGGGTGAACGCTTCGTTCAGCTCGTTTGGCTTTTTGCTACGTATCTGAAGCGCGTCGAACTCGTAATTGAAGCCTGGAAAGGTTTAAAAGGTACAAGACGCTGGCACAAGGTTGAATGGCCCACCAGCTTGTCCGATAACGTCGAGGGTCATTCGCCTCAGCCAGAGGTATACATCGATAACCTGGCCTTGCTCTTTCGCTGGACTCTTCGAAAGGAGCCCAAGCCAGACCTCACGAAGCTGCACCATCGATTAACGAATGGAATGCGGAGTTATCTCAGATAACTTACTAGAATAGCCTTTTCGACGAAGGTCTCCGTGAGTAGTCGTATCTGCGGATATCCAAAGGCTTGGTTCTACATAAAAGAATTGGTATGATGCTGATGTTAACGGGGAGAGGAGTCGTACAAGAATCCGACGGTGCCGCTTGTGGTCTTCTCCCTCGACGGCCAGAAGTCCTGTCGTATTGTTTGGCCCAATGAAGTAATATTGGGCTGGAAGACGCGCCTATGCCAGTCACTTGTTTTGTGTTTTCCAATGACACTGGTGATTTCTGGTATACATTGCCGTTGCTGAGCATATGGCTAATTGCTTTGACATCCTGGACATGGAGTAGTGGAACCTAGATGGACAGATTGGAGATACACATGCGGCTCGCCACGAGAAACTCACACTGAACAATGTCCTCAACTTGAAGATGCGTCCATACTGGCGGCGCCATGCATCCTCGATGTCGTACTTCTCCTGTGCCTGTGGTCAACGCTTCGAGTGTGACCAAAACAGTAGTCGCACAGCCATCTGTTTGAAGTTTCCCATGAGCAAGCTTCCATTGGGAGGCCCACGCATCGCACGGAACGGAGACGTGATCTCTGAGTAAAGGACGAGTGCGCCGTGGTAGACGAGGTATATGGACAAGGTGGCCACAATGGGAAGGACAATCCGGGTCGCTGTCCCGATCCAAGCCACATAGACGGATAGCTGGGCAGACATGAGCTTTCGGCGTTGTTTGCAAGGGTATATTCGAGGAAGTAAAATGAATGAGAAGGAGTGTGCGAGTTAAGGAGGAGCTGGAAAAACCGCTGCCTTTTATATCTGTCCCAGCCACACGTTATACAAACGGCATTAGGTCGGTGTCAAGAGTTTGTCAAGACTGAGAAGCTGGTGAGAAGGCTGGTGGAAGGTGGCAGCGGGATTGTTGCGTGGTCTTTGATCGTTCCAATGCTCGCGATTGGAGGTGCATTCCTGAGAACACTGCAGCCAACGTCAGCAGATTCGTCAAATGGCGCGGGACTGACAGATGATTGGCTGACTACGGCTCGGAGGCGGCAATAACTGGTGAGATAACTTGGAACTGAGGATTTTGACTGACAACGACGTACGCAAAAGTCAGTTTTGTGGGACTGATTCCAAGGACGACGAGGGTGGAACAAATCAATTGCAATAAATGAAACGAATTAAGCAACACAGTACTGGCGAAGTATTATAAAAAAGCATAAGTAGAAATGAAAGGGACATACAAGGGAAGGGACTTTCTCCTCACGAATCTCTGTCATACTAATTGCCGATGGATTTGTTTGTGCATGGATGAGACGCTTAATGGCCGATGCCATCCAGGGCTGAGGGCCAGACCACTACAGTTGTTCCACCTTGATCCCGTTCAAAGACGTTGGGGGTCCATAAGATGAGGTCTCCACATTATGAAAAAAGGTCGTCGTCTGATTTATAGTGCGAGCATATTCGATACACCCAAGATCTCGATGGTGATAGAGTCAAACGTTTGTGGACTTGGGGTCCTTAAACAACGAGTTTGCGCTCCGCAGTTACTATAGAAAGTATAAGAGTTGGAAATTTGTGGAACCAAAGACGCACCCCAAGCCCTTCTATCCATCGGACACTGTTGCTTCGAGGCTGGCGTCCCGAGCCACTTGAGCAGACAATGCATATGGAAGACATGCGAGCACTGGCCCCAGACTGCTTTTCGTAAGCTCGGGTTGGAGGTAAACAAGGTTCATAACGCACTGAGTGGACAATCGTCTCCGGGTACTTTGCACGCTGGGCAGCAGCCCTCATACGCAACGCGACAGATGCCACACACGTCCTCCTCCTCGTTCGACGCTGAATCGTCTGCGCCGGTGTCCCAGCGCCATTGGGCGACAGCGTGCCAATGCTTGATCGTGACTTTCATGACGGTGGAAGACAAGAAGTGAGGACACATCTTCGATTGATCAGCAACACTCTTGATTTGGTTCCGTCCACATTCTCAACGAACGGGCTTCTCGTGGGCCTTGCAGTTGTTATCTCTGGCTGCTTCAGTAGCAGCGGCACTCGTACCATCTAGAGAGAGTGTCTCAAAGGGAGATTCGTGGACTGTGGCACAACGACTTCGACAGAATATTATGCAAGTCGGAGGAGCCACTTTTGTAACGGGTGAGAGCACCTAATAGTATTTGGCTGATCAGGTCTAATCTACATTCTTGCTTCAAGCTTGAACACTCATCGAGAACTTACAGCACGATCCCCCAGCCCACATTCGCATTTCCCATTCAGGACTCGGAGACGCGAATGAAGGGACACGGTTTTCCACTCAAAAAGAGAGCTGAGCGTCGTTATTTCTGGCTCTGGTGAGAAATCTGTCGTCTTCGACGCAGCGAGCGTGGAAAACGACTGCCCAGCTAAGGGGGCCAGCTTGCAATTGTTGACCAGACATCTTTGCATCTATCCTCTGCTCGGCCAGCTCGGCCAGCTCTCCCTGCTCCCCGCCTCCGATAAAGGATTGCACAACTGCATAGCGCTTGTGTTATTTGCGGGTGAAGGAGCAGCGTGAATTTTTGTGTAGGTTTTGACTTGTGTATTCATCGTAAATTAAATAAAATCGATGAAATAAACGAAATGTATCGAAAACAAACCAAAAGGAACAAGCAAACGGATGGGAACTGACCAGCAGACTCAGAGTTTCGCCAGCGAGCGGACGTCAGCGGAATATTCTCTCCACTTTGTCTATTCCCCATCATTGGTGACAAGTTCCCTCTTGCCACCCCAGCCTTTCAAGTTTAATTCCCCTAGTACCCTGCCACAAATCCAGCTGCCAGTGCCGGCCCAAGGTTCCCGCAATAACATGTTGGCCAGGAACTTTACATTTCGTTTATTTCATCGATTTGGTGTCCGCTCAGCAATTGGGAGTGGAACCCAGCGGAAGGACTTTTCACCAGGCTGAATCTTCAAGATCTTCAATCTACATCCGAGTCTGACTCCAGCCGTTCGCCCAACAAACTCGACAACTCAGCGCTGTCAATCTCCCAAGTATCCTCCTCCTCCTCAGACTGACCGGAGTCACCACTCGACTCATCCTCCCCATCCGACTCTGACTCCGAGCTACCGGGCTCATAGTCCGGATCCTCATCGCAGTCCTTGTCATCCCACATATCATCATCCCCCAGCACAAACGCCAGCCAGCTACCCTGCGGTACCGCAGCCTGCCGGTAGTCGACATCGTCGCCACCGCTAAACCACGCGTCGTACTCCCAGAGCTCGCCCTCTCCCTCCAGCGGGTCCGGCAGTAGGGCGGTGCCGAGGAAGCTGAGCCCGGCATCGATGAACCGGCAGTTCCGGAGGGCCGGCATGCCCTCCTCGCGGCAGCCCCGCAGATAGTCGAGGTATACGTTCTCCATGTCTCCGGGGTGCCAGTTTGCCCGGCCGACGATGTCCAGTGCGGCGATATAGCGGTGTGTCAGCGGCGGGAGGTATAAGTCATCGAACGGTTGCTCGGCGAGACACTGGGCGATGCCGATTTTGAGGTAGAGCAGCTCTGGGCAGGCATCGAGCATTTCCTGTGCCGCGGCGTGGTCGGCTTCGAGGTACTCGCTGCTGACGGGGTGGTACCATGTCCAGTTGCTCAGCGGGGGCACCGATAAGTGGGTGATGGTCTTGCCGCCAAGCGTGCGAATAAGGTCACGGACCGGCTCGGTTGAACGCTGCCTCGCGGTATAACGGTCGCCGATGTCGATCACCAATGACTGCAGAACAAGGAACTCCCACGCGTGGTCGGCGGACGCGGATACCGCGTGCAGCACCAGCCGCAGATCCGTCACGCGAGGGAAGACGATTCGGCTGGGGAACACGGCCTCGGGGACGTAGGTCGACAACGTCACAAGTTGCGGGGCCAATCCTGCCAGAATGGGATACACATCCGGCATCTCGCTGCCCGACAACGCCCGCAGATCGAGGTGGCAAACCGCGCTGCCAGTGGCCAATGGCGCCATGAGCAAACTTGAAGGGTCCGGCGCGATGCTGAGCCCCAGACGTGTGATGTTGCCCCCACACAACTCGAGCAAGCGCGTGATTCCCGTCTGATGCACCTTTTCCCAATCGTCCAAGTCGGGGATGTAGCACGAAATAGTCAGGTTGCGCAGCAGCTTCGCCAACTCTGGCCACGTCTCCAAAGCGTGCACCAGCCGTGGCAGCTGGTCAATGTGGTCGACGAACACGCTCTCGTACAGCAGCTCACACGCGACCCGATACCACGCCCGACAGACTTCCATCAGGATGACGGCTTGCGTCCGGTCCAGCGCAAAGGGCTGGGGGAACGCAGGAGATGACCATGATGCATTGGGGATGGACCAGGAAACAGACAGGGCTTGTCGCAAGATGGAGCCAAGTATTTCGGGGGGAAGGTCAAGCATCCTCTGTAGAACGGTTAGGCTGAGTGATCCCCAGAACGGCTTCAAGAGTCGGAGTCAAGTATCGATATGGTGGAGGAAATGAAGAAAGATGATCTGGTGGCACGTGGCCGTGATCTCAGCCGACATTCACCCCGAAATGGAACAAACTGGAGGATTTTTTTCAATTTTAATAATGGAGGGATGTCTTTATGAAAATGGATTAAAAAATACCAGATAAATACAATAGCAATCTTATTAGAAAAAAAGGATTGCCATACAAAAATGCCTCTTTTGATTTTTCCCATAAGTATGTATAGGCAACCTATTTTGAGAAGCATTTCTCTGGTTCAGTTTCTGATGAATGAAGGTGAAAAATCTTTTGGCACACTATTACCTTCATTGAAAGCTTTAAAGAATCCTCCAGGTTTGTTCTGAGTCCTAAGGGTGATTACAAAAATACTCCGGAGCGACACAGTTACAGTACAGTAACAAGTCGACGTTCAGCCGCAAAAACGCAACACGCCATCCTGCAGCTCCACCCTCCGCAGCCCATCCCGCTCGTCCCAGGGCACCTCGTCTTCGATATGGGTAACGACCACAACGGCCTGGTGGTCCCCGACTCCGCCCCCTCGCAAATAGTCATGTGCAGCGCGCACCATCTGCCCATCCATTCCGCTCCACACTTCGTCCAGCAATATCAGCGGGTGCCGCGCAACGAGGGCCCGCATCAACAGCACTATTCGCTGCTCGCCCACGGGCAGTGAAACGAGTCGCCTCTTCGCGAATTCGGAGGCCGGAATCGGGGATACGGACCATGCTGCGGGACCTAAGGCATCGAGGACGGCGTTGATCCTGTCCACCCGCCAGCTGCGCTCTTCTTCAGCGCCGCCAACACCATCCTCTCCCCGCGAAACATAGCCGCCATCGAAACCTGTCCCGATAACCTCCCAGACGGTCATTCCAGGGGACCGACGAGGGAAAGCATCAAATAACTCCGGTGTCAGGACACCAATCCTCGAATGGATCGTCGGGGTCGGGAGTTTGTGGCGAGGGGAGCCAAACAAGGAAAAGGAGGAAGAGTTTGAGCGTTGCGTATATGATTGTGGGTGGTCCCCAGTGAGAAGGGCCAAAAGTGTCGTTTTGCCAGAGCCTATCAGTTTTGGGTTAACACAAAAACTAAGTCGAGTGAAAAATAACCATTTGTGCCCCGGAGGTGATACCGTTCACCTTGGCGAATGGTCCAGTTGATGTTTTTCAGTACCTGAAGGATGTAAACAGAAGAACTTGGAGAGAACTCAGACTAACCTGACGAGGACCATAAGCGACATTCACATCCTTCATCTCCACCACCACGTCTCCGGTTTGTGTAGGGGAAATACGGGACTCTGCTCTCCTTGCGGCGGCCTCTTGCATGCGGGTTTTGTGTGGCAGCATACTGGCTTTGGGGCCGACGTGAACAGCGCCATTATCCACCAAGGCAAGATGTGTGATCCATCCGGGGACCGAATCTTGGGAACGAAGTCCAAGAAGAATGTGGGGGTCGTTCTTTTGGTGCAGGTGGTGAAGGATGGACAAGACAGTAGAACGATTCGCCGCGTCCAGGCCCGCTGAACCTTTTCGTCAGCTTGTAACAAGTATTAGACAGAAAACGCACTCAGTGGTTCGTCCAATAACAACAGCCTTGGTTTTCCCAGCAAGGCCTTGAGTATCCTCGCTCGTCGTGTCTGCCCGTTGCTCAAAACCACCCTCGGCAGATCCATAAGGTCCCTCAACTGGAGCTTGTCCACCAACTCGTCAAACAACGCCATGTCCATCGTTGACTTCTCCTCCAGCGCGACGCGCGTGTGTGCTTTGAGGTCGTGGATCGTCTCGGGGAACATCGTCTGCCGCAGCGTGTACCGGTCTTCCTCCCTCACCGCCCCATACCGCGCCGAAAAGTCATAGAACGCCCCGCCCGCCGCGCGCCGGTTCGCAAACGACACAAGCGATATGCAGCTGTACGGGTCCCCGTTGGCGGCGAGGAACGGGTAGAGCTGGCCCGGCGGGGGGTGCACGCGCAGATGTCCCGTCAGCAACTTGGGTAGGTGGGTTTGGGCTCTAGAGGGGAGAGTAAACAGCACGCACATCGAAGATGAGAGACTTCTCACCAGAACCAGAGCCCACGACGGCCCAGCTCTCGTGTGGCTCGATTGTCCACTCGACGGAGTGGAGGACCGGCGTTGCCCGATTGGCGTCGCCGAAGCGGTAAATGTCGGCTTTCGGGAGCGCGAGGATGAATGGAGAGGTATAGCACCGTCGAGAAGAGGAGATGGGATTGAATGGAAACCGTCCCGCCGCCCGCCAGAGCGTCATTGAATTTGTGGATGAACGCACAGTTTCAGGTCACATGTCAAAATTTAAACTCTTTTGTAGACTACCAAGTGTTGCTACACTGCGGTCACCAGGTGCGTAGCGCTTTCATTTCTCGTTCGGTCCAGCTAACGAAAAGGTATAGCTGGTCTGACGCATTCAATCGTTATACCGTTCTCTTCCGACTGAGACTCTTCATCCTTCTGATAATCTGATTCCTTCACCACCAAAACAACCCTCTACTACTATAATACTCTTCTGGGTTTTTGCTCCCAAGATTCCGTTCCCGAATTGAACTGCTTTGTTGAAGAACTTGAATCCCCACTCCTATCCTCCGCGGTCCCAAAAGCCGAAATACGTCCACATCAATTTTCCTTGTGTGCTGTCTGAGCGTGATTTCTTCTTCCATCGTACTCCCTTGTACTCACAACTTGTAGCAATATCAATACAATTCCTTGTTGCCGTAGAATTTACATCCCAACATAAAGTCGTCGAAAAAAACATTAAATCCCAAACGTCTCTACATGCAGCTTTACCAGTGGTGTCTTCCCCTGCCATACACCTATGGTACCTGTCTCCCCGCCGTAACGCGGAACGCACATCTTCCGCCATAGAGGTCGGACCACAAACTACGCAATAATCAATACTTGATGTCAAAAGGCCTCGACAACGCACCATTTATCGACAGGTTCCCTCCTCCCGCCCCTGCAACAGCCTCCCGCACAATACCGTCCACGTTGGGCCTCCCGTTTGAGATCTGGATGCTGGGGAAGCATTCGAGTGCCAATGTCTCTGGGTGCTTTTCGGAAACGCCTTCGCTGTCTTTTCCGTTGGAGAGATGGATGCGGATATCGACGGCGATGCCCCTTTGGAGGCGGTCGTGTCGTGACAGCACATCGTTGAGCGTGTCGCGGATGGCTGCGATCTCAGAAGCGTCACGGATGCTCCAGACAAAAAGCAGCTTTTCGCAATTCGAGGACGGGGAGCTGCGGGTTGAGCTTCAGCAGGAACTTTTGTCCTGGACAGATAAACGCACCCCAAGATTTCGAGGAGGATGGGAAGCGTGAATGACACGCCCGAGCCGCCTGAAACGCGCGTTAATCACAACTCACACTGATCAGACAACCCCCAAACCTGCAAAGAGCACAACTTGCTCACATCCGTCCACTGTCGCTGGCTTCCCATATGGCCCGTCGAGGTATACCGGCAGCTCCGCCGATTGTCCCTCTGCCTCCTTGCCAACGCCAAAATCGAGGAGACGATGCGTGAATCCCTTCCGCGCACGGACCAAGAACACCATTTCTTTGCTCCTCGACCGTGCGGGCGCGAATGCGGAAGAAAGTTGCGGCTCCGGGCTCGACGACTCGCTCGGCAGCGCCTTCTCCTTTTGGTCCGACGACTCTTTCTCCATGCTCGTCCGGTCCGTCGCCGGCGTTAGCGCGCCTCCGTCTTGTGGCAGCTCTCCGGCATTGTCGGGATTGGCGATCGAAAATGGATGCGCTTCCCACGCCCCAAGGCGGCTGATGCGGGGGGCGGAGAGGTACATGACCTGGCCGGTGCCCCAGCGGACCCAATGGGGCACGCCCGACACGCGGAGACGGAGCAGCGTTGGAGAGATAACCTCGACTTTGGCTGACACGGGGTTTGGGGTTTGCCGGAGGGCCACTCGCAATAGGCGTCGGTATCCCCCGTTCTGGCAGCAGAGCCGCAGCACCCGGAGCAGACGGTCGAAAAAGTACAGGCCTAGCGAGGGGTACAGGAATATTTGCTCACTGCAAAGCCGGTTGAGACTTTTATTGATGGATTCAGGATGACTTACTGGAATTCGGCGGTGTGGACGTAGGCGCCGGCTAGCACGATGCTGTTCTGTGTAAGCTAATGATCCGACATGACTGAAAAACGGAATGCTCACATTGCCCCCAAAGAAATGTGCCACAAGGAATACCTCGTAGCTGCGGTTGCGTATCGGTCGTAGCGACAAAACGGCGAGCAAGCTCAAAGTGATCGCGGCCGTTACGCCCATGCGCAGCCACGATTCCTCAAGGTCCTCCAGAATGACCTTTTTCCCGCTGTCGACGCGTTACTTTTTCGCGGCCTGCCTACGCGAATGCGCACCTTTGTTTTATCTATCGCTGGTGAGTCAGCATGACATTAGCCAACGTGTCACTTACACGACCGCCAGCGTGGACCCATAAGAGAATCACGATGACACGCGCCACGATGCGGTGCATGAAGTTAAGCTGCGCAACAAGTCAGCCATCGTGGAAGTGTACTACAGTCGACGTGCCTTTTCATAGCTGACGCCCGTCAGCACTGCCAGATACGTGGTAAGCAGGGCCCGCTGATGGAAAATAAACTCCAACTCACGCGAGATGAAGTTGTTCTTCATGCCCAGGCCGATGAGCAGGGGGAACTGTGCAGCGGCAATGTGTCCTGCGCGGTTCGTCCAGTATCGGAGCGTGAAGCGGTTGCCCTTGAGGTCCGTCGCTGTCGCCATATCAGGAACAGGGACTCTCTCAGGCAACATAGGACACACTATTGATGAACTGCCAGGTGAAGATAGTGACGATGTAGGCGCAGGCGGCGAGGAACTCGGCGACGTTGATGGAATGTCCCACGCCATACGGAATCTGGACCCGAAATGCCGCCGCGCGGACAAAGTGCAGGCCTGCGCGGACGGAAGACGGGCCTTTCTTGATGCGGGTCAGGCGGATGACCACTGTCGTCCAGTGAATCACGGTTAGCAGCCCGATGAAGGCTGCGAGCGTCCACCAAAGCTCGACGGGGTACTGGTGGTTGCGGTACTTGCTGATCGTCTTGTCGGGGTTTGCGGCAGCCATCACGTTGCTGGCATTGGCGCTGGCGGTCGAACTAGCCATTGCGATTTCGAGCCTGAGGGAGGCACAGAGAACCCGGGGTACCGCATCGTCCGCCTCTTTATGCAAGCACGCTGTTAGCCATTGATGCCGTACACTTTCCGGGGTTAACAGCAAAAAAGTGCGCATGAAACTCGGAGGTGCGTCCACGACGACGGGCTTCCATTTGCCAGCCGAGGGCTTCTTCCACAACGTGCATCAGCTTATCTGATCTGATAAGATGTTGTTTTATCAGATACGGTGGCGACAGGCGGAAACTGCTTGGCCGTCAGGGCATAATCGTTTATCGGAAGCTAGCTCGGGGGATTGTGATAGAGGTTGTACCCTCTAAACGGAGGAACTCGATCAATAGCGCACCCGTACCTTACGGTTTCGTCGAATTCATGCGTCAGCGTTGGCTTCGGATGTCGCTTGAAATGGGTTATTGGCTCCTGCGATTGGCTCTCGACGTCAGTCACGACTATTCCAAAGATAGGTTTTTCTTCGCCAAGTTGCGATTGGTCACTGACCTATAGGGAAATCGGTGTTCGACTTCTCTTTTCAAGTTCCCCCGATTACCCCATTACCAACTTGAGTTCCGACTAGAAACAGACGTTCCAGACTGAAAAACCTGTAGCGTCCCGCCCGCACGTCGAATGACTATCAACACCCGGTAATCTGAGAACCCCGACCGCACGGCGTTTTTCTTCTCCTGCAGGCGCGGGTCCCTTATGGCGCGTCTGATGGGGAAAATCCTTTTTTACTGGTTACGAGAGAAGACCGAGAAGGTGTTTGGGTCGTGATTGACGTCGACACTGAGCGTGAATCGAACTCGATAACGGCGCCCTCGAGTGTCGTTATGCTCCAAGCACGAGCACAGAAGTGATCTTGAATCCGACCGCAACGCCGCTCAATGTCCGTTTCAAACTATGGGCTAATTCCCCCCCGCATGCGCTAACCCTGGCCCGAGTGAACACCGAGGATATTTGGCGAGAATTAAGTGGGCGTGGGCTCGGAGATTTGGTGGGCCCAAATATAAGTCGCCAATGCGCGCGAGGCGGAAGGGCCTTCTGCCGCCGGACGCTAGTGACCTGTGAAGAGGTGGGCCAAGGAGGGGGGGAAGGGAAATGGCTGCCTTTTGTGGGCAAAGTATACATACCCGTGAAAGAGCTTCCGCCCGGGGAACAGCCTAAACTGGGCCCCAAGACTCCTGCGCATCGTCATCTGCGGCGGAGAAACCTCAGAAGGGCCATATCGGGCTGTTTCAGAGCGCGAGGATAAGCGATAACGCCGCCTGCGTTTGCGACGTGCTCGTCGTCCAAGTATAGCGCATGGTTCGACGTCAAGGCTATCGCAAGTGTGACCGAGGCGCCATCTGGCGTCATGATGCGGGACGGTAACGCTTGCAGTTTGACAGTTATTCCGTTTGATTCTCTTCCTTCTGCCTGAAAGATACGAAGATCCCGAACCTTACCCGCTGCCCTTCGAATCTGCACTGACTCGTGTGCATATGGAAAATAATCTTCTTTCCATCCTTCTCTCTCTTAATTATACTCGAGATAGGAGTTTCTTCAGTCTTTCTTTAAATTTGGAGCGGCCCCGATAACGCACATTCTGAGCAACAGCGCTAGCGGAGAACGGGTCTATTCCATGTGTCCTCGAACGACATCAGTCACTAGTTCTCGTCACTCCTCTATAGATTGTGACCTACTACTTCGTAGGAAAGAACCCAAATTGTTCGATTCGCAATACGATAAACCCGCTATAACGATCCCCGTGTTGAAGAACCGACTCGGATGCATAACCAGCGTCGGTAGCGGGAAACCTAAGTACCTGAAGCCGTATGGTTCCATCTCGTGGTCATCGACTACATGTAGTTGACGCTAATCGTACTGAAGATAGGCAAATCTGCGCTCCCGTGTTACGAAACAGGCATTCTGGGCGATAGCTGGTTTGTTGTTTGAACCTTGTGGGCGATGTGGATAAGGCCGTGAAAGTCGAGCGGTTCCACCTAAGACCTCCTTTAAGAAAGTCGCCAACAATTTTGTGCAGTCGAGCCTACTTGTCAAAAACGTGTTGCTAAGGGAGGCCTTCAGCAAGTTGTGTAACAAGAAGAAAGAATAACACACCTTTTGCTGCCGTGCCCTCGCGAAGATTCCCAGACGACCGCCACTCATATGCGTAGCTATAGAGCTGTCAGAAACGTTCATTCTAGTTTCCATAACCATACTCTTTGCATTGAGAGGGCACAAACTTGGCGAGATTACCCTGAAAATTGGGCTGCGAGGAAGCCTAGAGGGCGAAAGCGGCTCACGACGATTTTCTTCATGAGGAAAACCCGCCGCAGGGTCGGATGTGGCCAGCCCCAATCTATGCGCTTGCCATCGGGTGATATACCAGTCTCGGACTACCACACAAAAACGTCAGTAAGAAGACTTCAGGAGCAGTGAACATGCACCAAGGCACACAGCCATTTTTACACTCTTCTAAACGAAACCCATGGGTCGCCGCGTCTGCTGGCGACTTGCTTTGTCCAGCTATTGCGTTGCAGTCAAGTTGTGTATGCTTTACTGGACGGAAAAGACCTCGTGAATCGGGACAAGGCGAGAAAGGAGCATTTGGCGGATGGTAGACCGAGGCGAGGATGCGGTTTCAGAAGGGTATTAGTTTGGGTGCTGTGGGTGGCGAGGGCTGCGGTATCCAAAGGTTAGAACGAAATAGCCAAATTGAAATGGCAAAAAGGCCCTCACACACCCGCATCTGTTTCGGACGTGAATGGGGGGTAATGCGACCTGCAGACAAGGCGGGAGGTGTAGAGTGCACAAGATTCCCCTGGCCGCTCGCGCCATTGAACAAGATGAACAAGAAGAAAGATGTGGTCGCCGACAAGCCTTTTCGATCACGTCATCAACACCACGTAATCACTCCTCAAAAAAAACGCTTCCACAAAGTGTTAATGCTTTAACTCAGATTCACGTTGTGCAAAAGACAAGAAAGAATAATGATCGCGATACTCTTTTTTCCTCTCTCTAATCCCCCAACCCCCGTCTAACTCAGAGCAGCTTGACCTTGACGGGCAAGCACGAGCCCTTCTCGGGCGCGTTGAGGTCCATCGGGTGTTGCAGCATGCTGCCTCCGGGAATCATCGCTGCCTTGCATGCCATGCCGCCCAGCGGACCCGCCTCGGTGTTGACATGCGAGAACTCGAATGTGCGGAGCATCACGAACAAAATCGACTTGATTCTGCACAAAAGTCCAGTCAGCAGCCATGAAAGCAATTCCAACCCCGGACTTACTCAGCCAGAGCAAAACGGTAGCCAATGCACGCGTGTGGGCCACCGAAGAACGCGAGCGTGTTGGCCCAGACACCGGGGATGGCGTTAACAGCCTCGGGGGTCTTGTCCCAGCGTTCAGGGTTGAAGACGTGCGCGTCGGGGCCCCAGATCTCGGGGTCGTTGTTGACAGCGAGCAGCGGGATGTGGATCATCTGGCCCTTGGTCACGCTAGCCCATTTGTCAGCCCATCGCAAAAAGAAAGATGGATGCAAAGACATACTAGATGCTATCGTGGGTCTTGCCGTTCGCGTCGATGTAAGGCTTGCCGAGAGGGAGGACATCTTCCTGCATGGCCATGCGCTGGGTGAAGACAAGACTGGGGTGCATACGGAGCGTTTCGCGGACGACTTGCTCGAGGTATTCCGCGTTGTTAAGCTCGTCCATGGTGGGAACTTCCGGGAGGCCCTGCAACTCTTCCCGGAGCTTGTTCTGCCGAGCCTGGTCACCAGCGAGGAAGGACACCGCCCACGAAACAGCCGAACTGGTACTCTCATGGCCCGCAACGATAAGAGTAGGGATTTCTGTTAGGATGAATATCAGCTCATGCAGCACGACAAGCATGGAGAAGGGAACACACGGGCAATGACCTCGTCATCAGTCAAACGCTGGCTGACGGGGATCTCGGGGTTGACATTGGCACGGAGGAGGAGCGAGAGGACACTGCGCTTGGAGCCGACTTCGACCCGCTCAGCACCAGTCTGGAACAGGGTGTCTTTCGCCCGTTGCAGGATCTCGCCACCAATGCGGAAAGTCTCGTTCTTGCACTCAACGAACACGTGTGTGCCAGGGAAGGGCTATGACATGCAAGTAAGAAGACATCTGGAATGGAAGAACAAGGGGCGCACAATAAGACGGAAGGCAGGCACCATCGCTTGGAGGATCATGAAGCCCATGAGCATGCGCGAATGCGGCGCATGGAAAATCTTGGTGAGCACATCGTTAAGCTCATTCGGCTGGCCCTTTACTTCGAGTGCGTCCATATCATATCCGAAACCTAGCCAAAAATTAACTGTAGTCTAAAGAAAGCTCGCGCCAACACGCACCAGCCTGGCCGATGACGTCCAGAGTAAGCTTGCGGAACCAGTCAAAGATGTCGATGACCTGGTGGTCAGCGTTGGGGTCCTTGGCGAATTGGGCGAGCCACATGTCGCGGCATTGAACGGAGATGTTGAGGAAAGTCTCGGTGAGGAGACGGATTTGCGAGGGGGCAAAAGCCTGGTTCTGAAGGACAGCGCGTCAATCTTCCCCGCAGACAACGGCTAATAGGATAAGGAACTAACAAGGATCTTGCGCTGACGCTTGTGTTCGTCATTCTCGACAGCAAGAAGACCTGGTATCAGACAAATATCAGTCGTGATTCTTGTCCTGGAAAACACAGAAACGCACCATTGCCCAAAGTACGCTTCGAGTTGTGCAGCCCGTACGGCGCCTTCTGGTAAATAGGCATGTTATGGATCATATGGTTGATCGCCTTGATATCTTGGACGTGGATGTGAGTCGCCTAGACAGTGAAGATTAGACCACATTTAATACGCATCAGTCGGGCCACGCACGCTCATGAGACTCTTGAATTTGAAGATGTGGCCGAACTGGCGGCGCCATCTGTTGGTCGTTTCGAAGTCGTCCTATCAACGAATTTAGTTGACTACAAGGATGGAAGTTTCCGCGGGCGCACCATAAGCTCCTGCACGTTGCCCAGCAAGAGACTGCCGTTGGGCGGACCCATCATCGTGCGAATGGACGAGCGCCAGTAGGAATACAACCGCTGCATGACCGCGATGGCGACATAGACACCCGCAGTCGCGAGCAACGGTACCGCAATCTGTGTCTTGCCCGAAGACGGGTTCACCACCGCCGCCTTGACAAGCGAGAAGGAGGAAGAGAGGTTAGAGAGCGAGACGGACTCGAGCCAGGAGGGAGCGGCGTCCATGGTAGAAGATGGTCAAGGAGAGGGGTAGGAGGGTAGTGCGGGAAGATGCCACTTTTCTAGACCGGCGTCAAGTCAAGTTAAAGATAAATCTCCCCATCAATGGTAGGCACCTTGCCAGATTCGGTACCAGATCCCTTCCCCACACCATCCCCGAGCCGGATGCATAACAAACGAAAAGCTAAACGGATGAAGGGTGGAAGAAGGGTGGCTGTTCGTGGGTCATTTCCTAGCGAGCAGGGGCAGGGGCGTTTGTGCGCGCTTCCAGCCACGCAAACCACGCAGAAGAACTTGAAGAAGGATCACCATCCTCGCCAGCGTAAGCGGAAGAAAAAAAGCACCTGCGAGATTATTATTGCTGTTGACTGCAAATTGATGCTTCGCAAATCCGGCAAGGCAGGCCGCGACCTATGCGTACCAAAAACCGACCACGAAAGGAGCACAAAGATGAAAACTGACAACCGTGTCACGTCTGTGACAGATGTGTGACCCGAGGCGTGCCCGAGTCACGCGCGGCACGGGCTCGGCCGCCACCTCCATGCGCTCCGCACACGCGAAGGGAAACTCTGCGTTTTGGTCTGAGAAGTTAGTGTGAAACAGCCTATCGCCGCATCTTTATCTACCCGCGAATCGGTGCGCTGACGTCTCGTCCACCTACTAGGAGTAACACTCCGGCGGCGCTGGAGATGGCTTACAGTCGCTTGCCCCTTGGACCTATATGCTCGTTGGTCGCGCGCCCTTTCCTCAAATCCTCTACGCTTCGACAGACGTCCGACAGCTGATCCTTGGCCGGCACCACTCTTTGTTCTCAGAAGTTGCCATCTTGCTTTGGCGCGCCGGACGTACAGCTTCTGCTTCTCCAGTTAAGCAGCAAGTAACTTACGAAGCCGCCTCAGATAGATCCGCCGTGCAGCTCGGGCCTAGCCCGATCGAACGTTTCAACGAACTCGGGGAGTCGGCGACACGGAAGGGTACCATCCTCAGCTGGTCTCACCATTCGGGCAGGCCTCGGGCATGCCGCCGTCGCATACGGGGTCGGTGCGCGGGTACAACTATTGAGTCAGAAAATGACTGATAGCTGGTTGCTTCAATTACTACCATCGATCTAGGCTTGACTCGTTGTAGCAAAGAAAAGAAGTCCTCCACGACAGAATAGTATGAGTACTATATGATTATAGTATGTATATGATTATAATGAGTCGATTGGCAGTGGAGGATGAATCATGACGCAACTTAAAAACGATGTCAATGTCACGGTCTTGCGAATCAAGTGCTACGCATCTTCAAGCTGTGATCCGAACATCTTCAGCGCCTCCGCTCTGCCCATCTCCCATCCTTCCTCAATTTCCGACTCACTATCGGACTCAATTTCCGACTCGGACTCCGAGCTGCTGGGCTCGTAGTCTGGATCCGTATCGTCATCCTCGTCATCCCACAGTTCATCATCCCCCAGAACAAATGCTAGCCAGCTGCCTCGCGGCATAGCTTCCCGCCGGCACTCGGCCTCCTCCTCGCCGCCGCCGCCGAACCACGCGTCCAGCACCCAGAGCTCGCCTTCGCCCTCCAGTGGGTCTGGCAGCATCTCTGCGCCGAGAAAGCCGAGCCCAGCATCAATGAACCGACACATCCGCAGGGCCGGCATTCCCTTGCGGGTCTGTAGGTACTCCAAATCGACATTTTGCTTGTCGCCGGGGTGCCAGTTCATCCGGCCGACGATGTCCAGCGCGGCAATCAGCGGGTGGGTCAACGGCGGCAGGTGGACTCCATCGGCCGGGTACTCGAGACACTGGGAGATGCCAATTCGCAAGTAAAGCAGCGCGGGGCACGCGTCAAGAATCTGTTGCGCTGCTGCGTGGTCTGCCTCGAGGTAATGACTACTGAGCCCGTGGTTATACCATGCCCAGTCACTCAGTCGGGGCACCGACAAGTGGGTGATGCTGTTTCCTGTCGATATAGCCTGAACCAGGTCGCGGACAGCAGCAGCACAGCGACTACCCAGCTCGTAGTCATTGCCAAGCGTCAGCGATTGCAGCGCGGGGAATTCCCACAAGCATTTGGAGGACAGAGAGCTTCCCCAGAGGACCAGCCTCAACGCCGTAAGGCGCGGGAAGACGATTTTGGTAAACGCCGTGTCGGGAACGTGAGTAGACAACGTCGCCAATCTCGGCGCGAGAGCGGCCAGAAGGGGATGTAATGCCTCGCTCTCAGAGAAGCCACGCAAATCCAAGTTCCGGATCGACGAGGAGTTGCTTGCAAATGGCTCAACGAACAACAGCGTATCCGCTGGCACCGTCCCAAGTGTGAGACGAGTAACGTTGCCAGCACAAAGCTCAAGCAAGCGGGTGACTTCCGCCCGATGTAACGCGGCCCAACCATCAGGGACATGGTATCCTATCGTCAGATTGCGTAGCAGCGCGGCCAACCCCGGTCGCATCTCTAAAGTCCGCACAAGCAGCGGCAGCTGTTCTATGTGGTCAAGAAACACACTCTCGTGCAGCAGCTCGGATGCGACCCGATACCATGCCCGACAAACTCGCATCAGAGCAAAGATTTGCGTCTTGTCCAGTGCAAAGGGTCCGGGAAATGGAGGAGATGACCATGATGAACTGGCATTGGGGATGGACCATGACACAGTGGACAGGGACTGTCGCATGATGGAGGAAAGTATTTCAGGCGGAACGTCGCGCATCTAGAAAACAAACGGGTTCCAAAACTGTTCAGCAAGCAGGTTATGATGTACTAGTAGGTTACTTACTTTCCTATCAAGGTTGTGGCAAAAGAATGTTGGCACGTGTTCCCATCAAAAACGATCTTCAAGCGACACGGCACATGGTCAAACAGCAAAACTTGGCCGAGTGGTTGACGGAACAATTATTCAAGAGATATTGTTATCCAAAGGATGCGCGGTTCTGGTCGGCATATAAAACATCAACAACCATCGACTCTTAGCTGCACATGCCACAAACTCTTCCAATCTTCGAACGTTAACCGCCCAAAAAGATTCCATCATTAACCAGTCTGGACAACGGTGTGTGAGAAGGATGCATCGAGCTAGCTAGATAAACATACCTATGCCCGTTCAATCGAAAGCTGCAGTACTCTGCCGCTCAACCATCAAGTCTCCATCTCCACAGCGAAATAAACAGGTGTCGCAAAAGCACGCAATATTGACATGCCTTTGAGGATTGCTAATCGGATCGGTTGTGTGTGTGTGTGTCGATGTAGGAATCAAGGAAGACGATCATAGCTGATCATGAAGGGCCGAAACGTATTGAGGATTTTTTGGACTCTTTGCTGAGTTTGCTCTCGCCAGCCTCAATCTGATTTAGCACCAACGACGCCGCCCCTTATCCCGATAACCTCCCAAACGGACATTCCGGGTTCCGACGAGAGAAAGCATCAAATTGCTGCAGCGTTAGAACCCCAATTCTCCGCTGAATCGTCGAAGCTGCTCCAATAGCGACCCCACCAAATCAAAACAGGTAGAATGGGAGCGTCGCGTGTAGGATTGGAGGACTAATGGACGTGGTTGTCTATCATGATGAGAAGGGCATAAACTTGATAAAGCGTCGTTTGCCGAAGCCTGTCCAAGTTTTTCAGCTAGATTGGCACGAACGCAGAGCCTGACCAATATTATAGTAGTATCTTCATGACCATGTCATTAGCTTGATCGTTCTCCTCCGATTTAAAGCAGCTTGTTATATCATCAAGCTTTTAAGCTTTGGGACCGACAAAGGTACTGTATTTGTTCGACTTCAACGAAACAAGTACAAACACCAATGATGTGAGCAAGTGCCAGTGAGGATGGATGGAAAGGACGGTCGAGCGAATAGACACGTTTCGAGTCGGACAACTTGAAGCGATACCTTTCGTCAGCGTCAACTTGAAATGAATGATGAAAAACAAGCCAACGCACTCATTGAGTAACAACAGTCTTCGCTCTCTTAATAAGGCTATCAGCAATCTTCGCTCGTCGTGTCGTGTCTGCCCGTTGTCTCCATGAACACGTCCACCAAGTCGTCAAAAAGCGATGCAATACGTCCATCGCTGGCTTCTCCTTCAGCGCAATCCACGTGTGCGCCTTGAGGTCGTCTAAAAAATACTAGTAGGGGTCCCCGGAAACATGAGGGTACACGAGAATGGTGGGAGTGGGACTCGTGCCAGTCCCACTCCCTTCCAATCTGTGGGACTCCAGCTATCAAAGTGGGATTCATGGCTGGTTGCTGTGATCGTCTCCAAGGCCGGCTGATGCCAGCTCAGGAGAGAGACTTAGCCGGCGTCGCGCAGCGAGCCTCCGCGGCGAGCGGCAGCCCGCGGCAGCGTGGGGTCCGGGGCGAAGCCCTGGTCGGGGTCCGGGGTGGAAAACCCCGGCCGCCGCGGCCGGCGCCGCAACCTAGAGTTAAAAGACAGTGAGTCATGCAAAAAGGCGGAAAAAATTGAAGGGAAGACGGACGATGCTCCGCGCAGCGGGCCCTGCGGCGAGCGGATGCCCCCGGCAGGGTGGGTCCAGGGCAACGCCCTGGTCGGGGTCCGGGGTGGAAAACCCCGGCCGTCGCGGCCGGCGCCGCAACCCAATGATCCACGCACGACACATCAGAAAGATGATGTGCATCGAGTCCCACTCTGATGGGACAAGTCCCACCAAATCGGCTTAACCGCTGTCAAACAGCACTGGGAGTGGGACTGGCGCGAGTCCCACTCCCACCAAACTCGTATATACTCCGGAAATATCGTCCGGCGTTGTCCGACCAACTTGGGCTTGAGTGACCCATGAATAGCACGTCCTTAGAAGACACGGGACCTCTCACCGAGAACAGAGCTCATGACGTCCCAGCTCTCCTCGAACGCAATTCTTGATTTGACAGAACGAACGGGGCATTTGGTCGATTTGCTTCTCCTAGAACTTCAAACTTGTGTCGGCTTGGGGGAGCGAGACTGGAGTAGCGGCGGTATAGACTTCGCGAGGAGGCGAGACCGGGTTGAACGAAGTCGGTCTCATGGCCGCTATGAGAATTTCGAGAAAAAAGTGTTTGGAGAGAGAGAAAATTGGGTCACGTGTTACGATATTGTCCTGAAGATTTCAAAGAAATCTGGAGTATTTTTTTTTCAAAGAAAATTAATGAAGATAAGTCCTCCAGTTTTCTTCTAAATCCTCGGGGTGAAAGGCAAGGACACCAGGGATACTACTAGTACTACCATAGACCCTTGCGGTTCAATTTCTAATCGACCTCGTCGTCCCAGCAAATCGGAAACAAAGTAAAAACCTCATCTCGAGTGATCTCTCCTCCCTCCCTTGACTCTGACTCCGACTCCTCTGAATCTGATTCCGATCCTCCCTCCGAACTGGAGCTTGAGCTTGGCGGCTCATAGTCAGAATCTTCTTCCTCATCCGATTTGCTCCAAATCCCGTTATCCGACAGGAAAAACGCCAGCCAACTTCTCCGAGTCGGTGGCATCAACTCCGCTAGGTCTACAGTTTCGTCGGGACCCAAGACAGTGTCTTGCACGGCAATATTTCTGTCAAGTAATTCCAACGGGTCTGGGAGTAGGTCCCAGGCTAAATATGCTACTCCGCCATCGATAGTCCGGCACATTTGCAAACAAGGCATCGCATTCGGCTTCTGCAGAAACTCGAGATCGGGCTCTAGCTTGTGCTCCGGAACTTCGTCCTCCGAATCCCAGTCCGACCGTGTGGACTATATCCAGTGCAACAATCCGAGCATGGTGAAGCGTGTTGACATCAGGCTCGACAAATTCGCATGAAGGCAAGGAGCTCGGTCACATCTCCCGTAAGTTGCTTTGGGAATGGTGGGTAATGCCATGAGGCGTGGTACATTAACCACGACTTGGAGGTCAAGACCTGGCGAAAAAGTGGCACCAGAATTTCAGGAGGAAGGTCGCAAATCTATCAACCGATAAGCAGGGACGCAAGTTATACTTAGAGTGTTCTGACCGTGACGACTGTCCGAGTCCCCGGAATATCTAGAGATATGAGCTTCCAGATGCATTCTGGTCGCAACGAAGGAATCGATGGGCACGTTTATACAGCACACTGTGACATGTGCAGAAATATTAATGGGTACTTGGTCATGGCCAGGGCCGCCAGGCGTTGGAATTCATGGAATGAATGCAACGCGCGCCGGAGCCATCATAACTGTTATGAGATATCCACAGACCCTTCTAACAACACTTCTTGCTTCAAAAACGTCTGAAAGTCCTTCAATTTCGGGTGGATGACACGCAAGGCCGGGATGTCCGTATTGAATCCCGGCTCGTTGAAGAACTAGATCGCATCAGACGCAATCCTGAAAAAGCGACAAAAATATACCTCAAACATGAGCCTGACCTCCTTCATTCCCCTGCCGACAAGTTTCGACAGGAAGGGCATGACGAAGCTTTGAGCCTTAAACTCCCTGTCATACCCCGTATGATTATTCGCGAAAACCTCGCGCCACACATCTGCCATATCTTTCCCGCTCAACTCATCCCCAGCAAGGTCAACGTCCTTGAACCGCCCATTAGAATCCAGATAGGTGCCTTCCCGCAATGGATTGATGTAGACTTCTGGATGTGCAAACACGATGGCGGCCATGACCCCGATGTCGCTGACAGCAATGAACTGAAGTCTTTTGCCCGGTTTTAGTTGCGTGAAGAAGATGTGTCTCGTCAAGCGTGAGGCAAAATCAGACGGGGGTTTTGCATGGCTGTTAGCGTGGGCGAGCTCGGCAAGACAGAGCTGGTCCATAAATGTGACGGGTCGGAGAATGGTCGTAGGTAGGGTTGAGTGTGTTTTCTCGATGTATTCCTCGATTTCACGCTTTGATTCGAAGCTGTAGGGTGTGAACGGAATGAAATTTCGCTTTTCGATCATACGCACTGAGGAACGTGGGTTTTCCTCCCTTCCATACCACCAAACTGGACGCTGGAGTAAACAAAATGCTTGACGCCGTGCTCTTTTGCTGCATCTGCAAGTTTCTTGCTCTCGAATATCTCTCCTGGCATACTTTTCGGGTTGTCGGCGCTTTGCTGGACGGAAAACACGCCCCAAATCGGTAGAGGTGTGTCCTTGGGCAAGTTGGCAGCCGAAAAGAGCGCTGCGGGGTTGGTTGGAAGACCCTTGACAGCATGAACTCCAGGAAGGCCAAATATTGAGCCGGCTTTTGGGGAGGATGGCGGATTTCGGGTTTGGGCGAGGATGTACCATGGGTGTGGCTGGGAAGCGGCAGCAGCGAGCGCATTGGCGTTCGCTAGAGCTGTATCGAATTAGGCGAGAAAAGGTCAAGCTATATGATTGCACGCACCACGCACGACACTGCTGCCTTGTTTTCCTGTCGCAAGCATGACCAGTATGCTTCTGGGCTTGGATTCATGGGTATTAGACGACATTATTGGGGAATAGAGGAATCGCCCCCCGCCGGTGTTTTATCTGCAATTTTCCGGGCGCCGAAAGCACGTCGGCAAACACCCAGACCATGACGAGTGTTGAGAGTGTGAGAGAATCAAGAGAGAATGAGAAGATGTCGAGCGGAAAAAACCAGTCACGACCAGCTGACCACTGCAAGTAACGCAAGACGCGTTTTGTCTCCAACCACGACATGAAAGTCACGATCAAGCACTGGCACGCCGTCGCTCAATGGCGCTGGGACACCGGCGCAGAGGACTCGGGCTCGAATGACGAAGACGATGTTTGTGGGATCTGTCGAGTTGCGTATGAGGGCTGTTGTCCAGCCTGCAAAGTACCGGGAGACGATTGCCCGCTTAGTGCGTCACTTGATAACCCAAATAGCACCCAATACTCACTGCAGCAGTCTGGGGCCAGTGCTCGCATGTCTTTCATATGCATTGTCTGCTCAAGTGGCTCGGTACTCCTGCCTCAAAACAGCAATGTCCGATGGATAGAAGAGCTTGGGGTGCGTCCTACTCTGTCTTGGATAAGGTGATTCCTAAATCCTTACAGTAACTGCTGAACGTAAAATCACTCCATAGGACCTCCTTACTGTTTCACGAAACTTGATCTCCTCCTCATGCTCAATCATATCCCAACTTAAAATCGATTGTCATTGCTTGGGATGTACCTGGTGTGTTGATGAATGGCATACAACTGAATAAGCAGAGAAATACTGAAGCTCCATACCATCTCCAGTCTCTTGTTGAATAACGCGCAGAATAACAGTCCCTCATTGCCTCCGAGTCTCAACGCACATTGCTTCATGGGTCATATCAATTTTCCTCAGTTCGCAAAGGTCTTCACGCTGACACTGGATTTACATCGATCGGAAGGATATTAGGATTGGAAGTGCGTATTCGTTCTTTCCTCAGCGTCTGCGCTAAACACTTTTCTAGCAATACGAGGTCGCCCCAAGTTTTCGGACATACAATGTTCCACAAGCCCCAGTCTGAAGATGATAGCTGTTGTCGTTCTCCATTCCCGACACCCCTACTCTTTTCACCCTGAGTTTTTTGAACCCCTGCAACCGACCTGGTTCTTCCGTCCCTACATGAGCATTGCTAATCATGGTGAGTGCGAAATGGTACATTGCAGTGGCATTGAACAGTCTCAAGATAATACGGAGCCTATGCTACCACCAGAGCTAGAACGAGCAATATTCGAGTGTGCCGCCAATCTGTTTCCGGGTCTCATACCAATGATGCTTACGGTGGCCAATAGGGTACTTGAGTGGTGTGTCCACTTTTGCTTCGCTGTTGCAGTTACTAACCCTGAATAGGCTTCGACCTTTTCTCTATACACACATATCCATCACTCCTCAATCCCCTTCTCTATCAGCGCTTCTACACCTTCTCACCACTCTTCCGCCGGCGCACGCATTCTTCTACGACTCCAATATCGCCAAAAGCGTCTTCGTTGGGCATACCAGATGGCTCAACAATGAAACCATGCTCGTTCTTCGACTTTTCGGGAAGAACACAGAGGACCTGACCATCCTCAGCGCCAATCGAGCACTAGTGCCGTTATTACGCAAAATACCCCTCAGGCGGCTTGCAGTCTCACTTGTTCACCTGTTCGATGGGCCCGGGTATAACTCGGAGAACTTGAACGGGGGCTCAAGCATACTCGCAAACTTGGCCTCATTGCAAGGAGCATTCGTCAACGTCACCCATCTCGAGCTATTCGACTTTCTGCATACCGAGCCTTTGTCAGCAATGGGCTACCTCTGTGCGCCATCTCCGTCCTGCCCATTCAACCCCCAGCCGAGCCCACTTCCATCGCTGACCCATCTTTGTCTGCACTCATTCGTACATCGCAACCAGCTCTTGTTCGTTTTAGAACACAACCCGCGCCTGCAACTCCTCGTCAACGTCCACAGGGACACAGAGCCAGAGTGGGGACTGGGGGACATTGCAGGCCGGTTGGCGATAACTGAAGATGTGCGATTCGTGCTGATGACGATGGAGGTGTCCCTTCCCGCACATGCACGGAGATGGGAGTCTGCTAGACGTGGGCTCGTTGCTAAAGAAGAACCGAGAGACTTTTGGGTCATGGCAAAAGCGTTCGTCGAGAAGCGCAAGGCTGGGACGGTGCTTCCTGGTAGGTTTCTCATTCATCTATCATGATGGCATGTCTACTGACTGTATTTCAGCATGGCGCTGCTGGATAATGGCGGAGGATTTCCAGGCTGAATGACTGGTTTCGTGTTGTTCAATGCTTTACTCGCAAACTCAGATCTTATACGGAGTGTCAATAATATGGTCTTCAGTTCAGACGACACTAATAAGTTATTCACATCGGATCTCCGACAAGATGGCTCAACTCCCAAGACACCGGCGGTCCGCCATGGAAGACACTCTCGAGCTTCCAACCTGCTTCTCGCATAATCTCTCGATAACTCTCCAAAGGTCGTTCTCTTGCACCAGCAAGTTGGTGCATCTGAACTCGATTTCAGTATCGAAGGGAAAACAGCAACTCTCTGACCCACCGCCATATCCAGAAAATACGCCTCCGTGTTCGCAATGCCCCAGTTCGGTAGTAGTGGTTCAGGAGCACGGAGTTCTGCTGTTTCTTCGGGGTCTATGTGCACCGAGCTTCGTGTGCGAGTCGCCAATGCGGGAACCGTCTCAATGATGACGACTTTGGTGATCGCATTTTTGACACTCATTTTGCGTGTCGCGGCGACCGCACGAAGATGTTTGAGGATGGATATGGCCCGGAGATCGTCCCAGTTGTGGAGGATGTAACGTAAAACGAAGATCACCGCCGGTGAAGTCGAGGAAGACAGTGTGGCGGGTTGGGGGGGTGAAAAAATCGTGGACTAAACTCAAGTGCATTGAGTGAACCATCACCGCCAAGGGGTTTACTACGGTACCTTGGAATTCCATCATCTGGTTTTCAATGTGCGAAGGAAATTTCAGGCGCCATAACTGAGTAATGTGTCGAACCACGAAGGGCCAAAAGATTGAAATGACAGACCTCCGCAGCAGCCTCCGCAACCTGCTCCAAATCTTGGACAATGACACGCAATGCCGGATAGCGTGTCGCAATTTGCAATGTTACGCTCCCGACGCCACCTCCGACGTCCACGAGAATACTCCCGGGAGGCAAATTGCTCCAGGGGAAGCCTAAAAATGCTATCTTATCAGTAATCATTGGCAAGCCCGGGTTCATGATTTCGTTTACCGCGGAAGATCTCATCTCTAATTCGTGTCTGCTCCGTCGCGCGCATCCCGACGTCTAATCTGCGACGAAGATGCTCGTTTTCGGAGCTGCTGAGCCACTCGTAGAACGTATCCGTCGTCCTGTATGCGCGATTGAAAGGAAGCTGGTCTGGGATGGGCGAGATGAGAGTGTCGAGTCCGTACGCGGCACATTTGAACGGGACCTCAGAACTGCGACCCAATCTAGGTACCAGGACTTTTAACAAGTTGAACAAAACTTACAAAAAGTCCACAAAAGCTGTGCGCTCCGACTCGTAGGATCGCATTTGAAAAGCATCATCTCGCCTACTATATAAAGTTTCAAGCAGTACTTCAATGGGAGGGAAGGTACCTGGAAAGCAGGTCTTGTAGAGGATGCTCCTTCACCAACGCGCTTGATATCCGATTATTTCCGAAGGTATCCGGAGCAACTTCGTTAAAAATGTGGTGTGTGGCCAATAGGCGGAGAATGCGGGCTGTATGTAGAGCTTATCACGACTTCGAGCAGGAATTTGGGGCTAAGCACGGCACCTAGCAAGGCACCATCGGTTTTACATATTGCTCCCAGCTCTTCCGCATGCATCCCCTGAATAGGATAGGTCAAATATTAGACTCAGTGTAGGAGTGATGACGCGGTAGTAGCAGACCTGTGCACCCGCTTCTTCCAACACATTGGCCACATGCAGCTCAGAAACGGTCCTAATGGCGGCGGAGACATTGAACTCGATGAATAAGATGAGTAAGTGACCGTGACGTGGACTGGGACAGGTGAACTCACGAGGGCAGCTGCATTGAGTATTGCGATTGTCGGCTTCCTGAAAGTGGCGGTAAGCTGGCCAGAGGCAGCAACGATGGTGAGCAGAGCAGTCGAGACAGCTGGGTCGGACAACAATTCCTCAGCGGGCGAGGCAGGGTCGTAAGCTGTGTCCAGGGTTGGAACGGCAAGGTTGTGGCGAGAGAAAACTTCCTCCACCGTGTCCAGGGAAGTCGAAATGAGCGAGACGAGTTGGCGCAGCTGTTCCATGATTGCCACCACACCCAAGCCTTAAACGCCCGTTTTATACCCATGGTACGGTTTGATACCACACCAGTGGCTGACAGTTCTACTAGTAGGGAGCACGGGAGAAGAATGCGCCACAGCGATTGGCAAGATGATTCAGGTTGGCGTCGATTCCCCACCCAGAAGCAGAATCGCCATCTGACAACCACAGTGGCGTAGGATTTTGAGAGTTTTAAGGGGTTGCCTCTAGTGCAAGCATCTTGCGAGCCAGCATGTACTCGGGCCAAACGCGCAGATTTTGAGATGAAGGCAAGATGCAAGACATGACTAACACACAAAATCAATTGATCCGGGCTTTGAAGTCTTGGGAATGATGTTAGAGTTGTAAACGAGAAACCAAAGTGCTACTCGCATACCATTAATTTGACAAATGAGGCATCAGGTTATTCAAAATCACTGAAGTTATGTGGTTGTTTCATGAGACATCGGACATACAAGAGAACTTTTCGTTCACATTGGTTCCCCAACAAGATGACTGAGCTCCCAGGACACGGGCGGCCCACCGTGAAAGACATCTTTCAGCTTCCACCCTGCCTGCTGCATGACATCCCGATAACTCTGCAACGGGCGCTCTCTCGCCCCGACAAGATGGTGCATCTAAAAGCGGATTGATCATGGGGTCGGAGAGAGAGCGAAATGTAAACGTACTGCCATGTCCACGAAATACGCCTCTGTGCTAGCGATACCCCAGTTTGGGAGTAGTGGTTCGGGCGCAAGAACCCGCGCTTCGGCTATCGTGGCCGCACCCGAGTCTGCAAAAACGCCGGGCCGGGAGGGTGCACACGTGCGCGTGGCGAAAGCAGAGACTGCCTCGATAATGACTAACTTGGTTATCGCGTTCGGGACCACCGCTTTGCGGGTCTCGGCGGCAGCATGCAGCCGTTTGAGAATCGTTACGGCCCGGTGGTCGTCCCAATTGTGAAGAATGTATCTCAACACAAAAACCACTACCGGAGCGTTGGACGAGGACACTATGGCCGGCTGAGGGGCGAAGAAATCATGAACTGGGATGGTAAGGTTAGTGTGGATTGTAAGTGATTGAGATGGATGGGTTTACCTTGAAATTTCATTATGTTGTTCTCGATGTGGGTAGGCAATACAGTTTTCCAGAGCTGAAAGTGAATCGCTAATGCCGAAACTACGAAGAATGAAACCAGGGAAAATGGCACATACCTCCGTGGATGCCTCCGCAGCTTGCTCTAGATCTTCGACAACGACGCGCAGCGCCGGATAGCGCTTTGCAATCTGCAATGTTACGTGCCCAACGCCACCACCGACATCAACAAGCATGCTTCCAGCAGGCAAATCACCCCATGGAAAACCTAGCAAGCTGATAAATATGGTTTCGAGCTTGTCAGGCTCGTTTACCTAGAAATAACTCGTCCTTGACGCGGGTTTGCTCCGTTGCCCGCATGCCGACATCGAATCGTCGACGCAGATGCTCATTTTCGGGTCGGCTGAGCCACGCGTAGAAGGTGTCTGTGGTACCGTACGCGCGATTGAAGGAAAGCTGGCCAGGACACTCAGGCGAAATAACCGTGTCGGGGGAGTATGCCGCGCTCTTAAAATTGACATCAGAGCTTCAAGCAAGAAGTTAGCGTGACATGTTTCCACTGGCAAAAGTGATGGAACCCACAAAAACTCGATAAATGCCGTAGGCTCATACACAGGTGGCCGGCCTGGAGCTTTCTCCCGCCTGAGCACGATGCTTGATCAACGACCAGAAACAAGAAGGGTATATTCACATACCGGGAAAGCAGGTCTTGTACTGGTAGCCCTGTGCATAAAGCACTTGAGATCCTATTATTGCTGAAAGTATCCGGAGCCACCTCATTGAAAATGTGGTGTGTGGCCAATAAGCGGAGAATACGGGCTATATGCGGGGGCCAGTTACGACGTTGAGCATGCGATTGAAGGGGAATTTTACCTAGCAAGGCACCATCAGTCTTACACTTGGCCCCTAGTTCATCTGCATGCATTCCCTGCGTAGCGGATGTCAATAAGCAGAGCGAACGAAGCTGCGCTATCATACCTGTGGACCTGCTTCTTTCAGTATATCTGCCACATTCAAGTGGGAAACGGTCCTGATTGAAGCGGTAACGTAGAACTGGGGGGGGTAGGTGTTATTACTTAGGACGTCGCAGAGACAAATTAAATGACACCTACTCCGCCAGCCCCGTGGAGCAGTGCGCTCGTCGGCTTTCTGAAAGTGGCACCAAGTTGGGCAGAGGCAGCAACAATGGCAAGCACAGCAGTCGATATGGAGGGGTCAGCCAACAGCCTGAGAGCCTCAGTCGGCGAGATGGGGTCATAGGCCGTCTCCAGGGTCGGCACGGGCAGCCCATGGCGGCAGAAAACGTCTTCGATTCTGTCGAGCGAGGTCGAGATAAGCGAGATGAGCTGGCGCAGCTGCTCCATGGTTGTGAAAAACAGGTCTCCACTACCCGTTTAATACTGTGACCCGTCGCATTAACCCGAATGGGCCCATTCCTACGATTGAATTAACTTGAATCTTGAAGGTCGAAGGAGACACATGCCTAGCGCTCTACTGGCACTGTGATTTCCAGTCGATTGGCGGCCCTCGCCAAGGCGCTGGAGCCGTCTCATGGGCACAGTGTAAGGATTCGCCACCCGAAAGCACCAGGATTGGATCCTGGCAGTGACAGCGGCGGAAAAGCGCAGACGAGATGAGTGGGAGAGTAGTCTCAGTGAGGTTGGAAGTCTCACCAATGCCGCACTCAACCGTCCCAGCGAGTAGCCGAGTCCCACCGAACGATGACTGCGGAAGCGAAGGTCCCAAAATTTATACTTAGTCAGCATAGTACACCACATCGTCTTGGTCAAATATTGCTCACGTACAAAGTGTTTCCAAAGATGTTTTTGTTTTTGGAAACTGCTGGATAGCAAAGGGCCGAGGTCAAGAGCCTTGCAAGTACCCAATCGTTATCAATTAGGAACTTATACTTGGGTTGCATTTGGACACGGCCTTGGACTGACGATTCGAAGAAGCTTATTTTCCTTTTATTTTTGGACCCTTCGGAGGACTGAAGTCTAATCTGAAAAGTGTTTACCAGTAAAGCTGCCGGACATTGTCCCACTCTGAGCTGCACATTCGTGACGCTGGGGACTCGGATAGTCCCCCGCGCTATCAATCCCAGTCTCCCACAACCTTGAACAGCAGACCAACTAGCGGACTCAGTTCGTTAGATCTATGGAGCGGGTCTATTTCTGTACTTTGCTAGTGCACCACCTTGTAGGTCGTCGTTCAATTAACGTTCAGCTTTTGTTGTTAACGTTATGATGATGACTCACAGCTATATCTTGACCTAAGGGCTTCTTTTCGTCGACAAAAACTATTTTTATTAGTTTATAGGACATCATGGTCATAACCCGCTCAACGAGCGGCTAATCTACAAGTAAAGCTAGTATGTGTACGTGTACATTTACAGAATACGGACGTGGATGGTATGGTATAAGCTCCGAAGACTGTGCCTAAGGAGACATGCACTAAGTAAGATAACGTTCCCGACTGCAACAGCATCTGTCGATTCCACCGCGGAGCGCTCGCTGCCGTGAGGTCGCTATCGACAAAATGCTGCAGGAGGCGTATGTTGGGCCTGACCTCAGAGCCTGTCAAGTCGTCGCGCGATATTCGCGACACTTGTTAACCACCACCACTTCCGCTGGCGGAACTGTCGCCAGTATCTGGCCTCTTTGAGCGATCTCGCTCTCGCCTTTGTTTGGCCATTCGCAGGCCCGCCTCATACCCGCTTTCGTAGGGCTCGCCTTCCGGCGGTGTGTAAGTATGGACAGCTGAAGGTGCTGAAACGTGTTCGTTGGATGGTCGTGAAGTTGTAGCAGTGGGCTGTAGCGGGGTAGGAAATAGTGGTCGGTGTTCGGCTCCCGATAATGACGGTCTTGCCGGAGGCGAAGATGAAGTGGACGCTGATGACGGTAATGCGCGCGAAGCGGAAGACAGGCCAGCGGGCGACCCCGGCGGAGAGCCAACCAGTGTAGAAGCGGTACCAGGCAGGCCAGCATAGTAGTCAGGTCTGGGCGGTGCCTTGCGTTTTGACGACAAGTGGCGCTCGGGACCACCAGAGGCGAGGAATGGGTTATCACGCTCGGGTTCCGGCTCAGGCGGGAGATTCCCGAGTCCCTGTCCTCCGCCACCATATGTATCCGCAAAGGCTAGTTCGAGATCGAAGTCGGGGGCAGAGTTGTTGAGCTTGTATCCGGTTTTGCCATAGGCTGCGTATGGATGCTTGCCGTAACGGGCGTAGCTCCACTCATTGTAATTATTGGTTTGAGTATGGGTGGTCGTGCTTTGGAGATAAGTGTGGGACAATGGGAGAGGCCGGACTTCATCCGTGGTTGCTTGTGAGGTCGACGATGGAACAGACCGAATGTTGATCATCATTCGGGAGACCTACGAGTCATGAATACCATAAGAAAAGGAAACGCTAGGACATACTGCGATACAAGAAATGGCGCTCGTTGGGCCAAGCAGGAGAGAATGCCAATATGCACTGAAATTGGATTCGTAGATAATGGCATTGGCGAGGGTAAATGCTAGGTGGTAACATTAGCATTCGAAGGAAATGGCTCAACGGCAGGACGCACTAAAAATGAGAAGGAAGTACACCAGCGAATCTCTTGCGAGAACATCGAGTGTCTGATTCCCTCCCGAACCAAGTCTGACGCCCAGAAACGACAGTCCCGACCCGGACCCGAAGTACTTGGAGCTTCTGCGGGACTGGAAAGACCAACGAGGAAGGATCTTGAAGAGAGTGATCAGGACCATAATAACTGGAGTAAACGTTAGGAAAATGTATTCCAAGTGAGAGAAATAGACTTGCATTCGAAGACTACCGGGGCAATCCATGTCGCGCTTGCATACTGCTTGACGAGATGTTTATTTAGACTCTTCAGAGCGCAAGATAATGGGGCCGGCTGGGCAACACCCTGTTGGTAAGAGGTCGCGACAATGATGGCTGCGCCGACGGCCAGGCATTCACAACCGAAGAGTATGCTGAGGACCCAAAACATGAGACGGGAGTTGTTATCTGCGGGAACCTATCAACACGGGAGGACGAAAAAGTGACCAGAAGACGCACATATTGCCCAAACTCGGATGACGACGAGCGCTTGTGCTGCCAAAATAGCCAGGCGGAGAGGAATCATCTGCCAGTAGCCGTAGATACGGCAGAACTCGCGAGATGTGCCAGGGTAATTGGCAAGAACCCAGAGTCCACTTCGAAAAGGGTCAGCAAGGGCAAGGTGGAGAGAGGAAAAACAAAAAGGCACATGAGCATCGCGCGAATAAAGTAGCGGTTGAGCATGAAGAGAATCTTGGGAAGGCGCCATCGCAGGGACCAAACGCGCGAAATTTCGTCGTCAAGGCTGGTGACAAGTTCGTAGACGAGCAACGTGGCGATCGAGTCTGAAGTTTTTTCAATAAGTCAGGATCGCTGAAATGGGCGAATCATAACGCACAGTTGATATAGTTGCCAATGTATGTGTAGTGCACATACTCCCTCAGCGCATCGAGGTCCGTGTAGTGGTCTGGGCCATATGCCAATGCCGGCCCTGGCATCGTTTACGCGCGACTCCGCGTGGATTCTTCAATTGCTGGTCGTGAAAAGAAGGGAAGAGGGGAAGAGGGAGGGCATGAGGAGAAGGGGGGCGGGAGAACGATAAGCACAAGGGCATGGCGGCGTTAAGTACTGCATTTGACTGCTGTCGGTTGTGCCTGTGACATGGACCTCAAAGTCGTTGTGATGGATGATCACTGACCTGTCAATCACCCACACAAGCAATGTGTCCCTCCGGCCATCTGAACCCTTGGCCAACCGCAGCCACTGGGATCGACCATGCTTGGTCCGGCGAGAACCCCAGGCTCATCGTTATTCGGGTCGTTGCGACGAATTATGGCCCTCGTCCGACGACCGCGCCCGTGACGCTCTACAGAACTCCACGGTGGAAGCCACAACCATGACAGAAGTAGAAAAGCAGGAAAGACACCGCCGTTATGTCAATCTAATCGCCGACTTCGGACCGTGCTTAACTTTGGCTTAACTCCACACCAGCTGTAGGTGTGGACCTGCCTGTGTCAAATACTGCACTTACTACTTTGTCGTTTGCCAGTCTCTTTCTGCAGTGTCTTGTGCGAGATTCTGGCGCGATAAGGATTTATTGTGATATCAATGGACCGCAGCTGATATTCTGGCCCGCGTCGCCGCCTGCGCCACCAGCTGTCAAGAGCCTCCGTTTTGCATGGGTTGTTGATACCTGGGTGGAGGCTACCGTTGACTCTAGATCTTATTGTCCGCCCGTAATCCGCCGCGTATCTTTCAGCCAACTTTCAGCTATAACATTTTCAGGCGGACGGAGATCATCGCGGAAATCAATCCATCGCGGTGGCGGCATGAATGATCATACGGCGACTTACCTGAGGTCCGTGCTATTCTTGGAGGCTGTTTTATTGCAGGAAACCATCGCCATTCTCAGGCGGGAGGCAGTTACCGTCAGGTACGTCGGGCTCTTTCGCTGTTATACCATCACTCGTTTTTCTGGTACCACAGTAAGTACTTTTCTTGTCGACAACGCTGCTTATCTGAATTTGTTCCTAGCTGGTTGACCGGGGAGTCGGGATTGTGGCCAGGTGCACATAGAATCGATAGCGACATACTTACCCAGGTAACCAACCAACGATGATCCAGTTAGTGGCGTCCATTTCCGACTGTCGGTCCTTCGCTTCCCCAGCGTGCATCAGCAACGTCGGGAAGTTCCTTCTTCAAGGCCGCGTTGGGGTATGACCGCACATCACAAACAAACAAAGCCCCCCCCTCTCCTTCAACTTTGCCACGAGGCGCGAGGTTGTTTTGACGGGAATTTCCGTTAATTTGCCGCTGATATGATTGTTGGGACGATCCGATTAACGGCTGGATGAAATTCGAGCGAGGAGTATTTTGGAATGTGGCGAGTGCAGAGCTCTCCGTGTGGGTCAAATACTTTTACCCGGCGGGCAATCTGCTTAGTAGTTGACCGATTCAAATAGCCAGGCGACCCAAGATCTACACAATCTCCACATCCTCAGTGCCATCTCATGAGTACAAATTGTCGATATGTATCACACTTGAGCTTAGCGGTTGACGAACAATGCAAGATAAAGTTGGACTGACTGAAAAGCGCGACTAAGTAGACACACACGCCTCTGGCTCGGTATTTGCCCATCATAGCGCCGGTCTTGAACTCAGAACTCATGTATGTCGGATGATCCATAAGCCGCCGATTCGGGCGATCACCGGCCTCACGGGAAGCCGGGCCCGGGTGAGCAATGCACGTTTTGATGGCGTCAGTCCAGCCCATGACGGATCCGTCACTCGGCGCTCGGTGATGCGCCTCCGAGTCTGCAACGAGATAATCGGACGCAACCGCTGACAGCCGGGATCTTCACATGACACAACAAGCCTCCGAAGTTGCTCCGAAGTCTGTCTGCGGCCGAGAGTGCACCGATCCTGTCCGATTGTTTCCGATCTCCCAGGTTTGAGCGGACCTCAACAAGAGATCGGCTTCCTGATCCATTCAACGACGAACGTACAGTAAGGTTATACGACGATAATAAGTCAGAGGGGTGAATGACCCGTATAAGCCTATGAGGCGAACAGGCGGAAAGATGCCACTGGCCAGGCCCGAAACGACTGGACTGTCGATATGAATTACTTACCTACTGCACTTATCCACTTGCCAACCATCGGGTGCCGAGCAATTTAATAACCCCCTCCTCCTGGTTGTGGCTTGAAGCGGCCACCGCCAACCGCAGCTCGTAAAGCTGCAGCATACGCGAAACAGTTACCATCGCGCCGGTACCGGCCCGGGTGTTGTCCTCGTTCACGGGCACCAGCGCAACACGGCTCGCGAGGAGTATTGGAGCACGAGCGGCCAGTGACGCGGAAATCGCGTCCAGGACAAGGTCAGCGTTAATGACGAATGGCAGATACGGACCAGAGCCGGATTCCGCCCAAACAGGGGCAGAAATCTCAAAGTGGGCCAGAGGGATGATCACGTCGAAATCTGTCCAACACTTGATATTCAGCCAGATACGAGAATTGCGAGTCAGTAAACTCACCAAATGCACGGCCGACCACCTCCCAGGCGACAGACGAGCCGGGTCCATTAATACTGCCGGTGGTCTGGCTGCGAAAAGAGAAATCGACGTGGTATCGATGGTGTATTGCTTCCCTCCTGGACTTGAGTCCGAATTGGGCACAGCCGATGTCGTACTCGTGAATCCATTCGAAATCACTCGAAAGCGGAGCGTCGCCGAAGGGAAAGCCGAGCGGCAGGAGGTCATCTTCTGCGGGCCGGCTGCGCGTCAAATCGCGACGGGCTTGTGGGACACGGACGCGCGATCGGGTGATAGTGGTCAAGTGTAAATGAAGGAAGTGGGCCCGTTGAGCGCGTAGCTCCCTTTAGACCGTCAATCCAGTTCCGCACGAATGCACCCAATTCATCTGTGAGCGACGACTGGTATTGCCTCGTTGCAACAGGTGACGGCGGAACCGACATCGAGCGATTGAGAAACTCGGAGCGGAGAGGGTATAGGCGCGGGCCTGCGGATCGTAAGGGTAATCAACGAATCGTCAAGGTCGTGAAGGAAGGGGGGAAATGATACCTGCATTGTGGGAGGAGGTCCAGTTAATAAAGTGCACCGAATCCGAGACGCTTTGGGGGTCGTCAAACGAGCTTCGGATGCTGTAAATCTGTCAAACGCACGCAGACACGGAGAAAGAGTCAGAAAGATTGTGTTGGAAAGATAATCTACGGGGATACTAGTATTAGATTATTGAAAATTACAGAACACGTCAATCAAGCAAGTTATGGACTCACAGCAGTTGACTCCTCGTCAGAAGACCGCGTCTGAGAAAGACAAGTTGGCGCTCGGGATGCGGATTGAGATGGAAAATGGAACCCCGAAAGGCCATTGTTCACGAAAACAGCAGTGTTGGTCCGCAGAGCTGCCATCTCTGACTCCGCCGTTTGATCCTTTTATGTACACAATGTCCCCAAGAGGCAACCGCCGACGCCGCGGAGCAGAGGCTGAGCCTCACGATAGTGATTCAGAAGCGAAGGCGAGGTACTACAGGCATAAGGAATAGCAGTGACTAGAAGCTGTCTCAATCTTGATGCTTGCGTTGGTGACCTCCGAGTTATGAGATCTTGACAATGAGTATTGCAAGACTCGGAAACGAGGAAAGTTCGGCCATTTCGAATGAAACTACAGCTTTCGTCCTGCCAGTGTGTCGTGCCAAGGGAAGAAGTCACAATATGTGATGCTATAGGTCACGTTTTGTTTCTGGATTCCTCTCAGGGCCATCGACAAGGGTCGGCGACAGGCCGGCGTGCCCACCTGTGGGCAAGACCGATGGCGCGATATGGCTTCGGGCTTGACCGCCACAGCCGGCATTGCGAGAACCCGGCTGCGCTCTTTATTCGGAATCTTTATCAGCGACCTTAGTTGACCACCACCACCACGACAGAATGCCACTCTTCAACCCCAGCACTGTCGGGCAACTTCCCCTCCAGCATCGTGTGGTGCTTGCCCCGCTCACGCGCTACAAGGCCGACAAGGACCACGTGCCTTATCTCCCGCTCGTCAAGGAGTACTACAGCCAGCGGGCGAGCACACCCGGGTCATTGCTTATCACGGAGGGGACGTTCATCGCAGCTAGGGCAGGGGGATACACGCATGTTCCTGGGATTTGGAGTGATGCCCAAATCAAGGCCTGGAAAGAGGTGCTTTCCGTTTTTTTCTTCGTTTTTTTCGTTGGCTGATTGTTGGAGGTGACGGCTGCTGTCCATGCCAAGGGGTCGTATATATTCATGCAACTATGGGCTCTCGGTCGCTCTGCCAGCATCAAGCAGCTGCACGAGGACGACCCCAGCTTGCCCTACGTATCCGCGTCAGATGTCCCCTTCAGCAAACGCAAAGACTTTCCACCCCGGCCGTTGACGGTGGAGGAAATAAAGGAATATGTCGAACTCTATGCGCAGGCGGCCCGGAATGCGATTTTAGCGGGGTTCGATGGTGTCGAAGTACATTGTGAGTGCATAACCAAGACGCAGAATGTTACTGACTTATGTGGAGCCGCCAACGGATACCTTCCCGACCAATTCCTCCGCGAAGTCACCAACCAGCGCACCGACCAGTATGGCGGCAGTATCGAGAACCGCTCCCGTTTCGTCCTCGAAATCGTGGCAGCCATTGTCAAAGCTGTTGGTGCGGAAAGGACGGCGATACGGTTCAGTCCGTGGGGCGAGATAACAGGTGTGTCAATTTATGTAGCTCGACATTATGGATTTTACCAACGCTTCATCTCAGAGGTTAAATCCGCCGACCCCGTCCCTCAATTTTCACATACCATATCCGCGCTCGCCTCTGCCCATCAGAACCCGCCCCTCGCCTACATCCACCTTGTCGAGCCTCGTGTCCAAGGCATCTTTGACCGCAAGCCCGATACAGTCGGGTCAAATGAGTCGAATCTGCCTTTCAGGCGGATATGGCGGGGACAAGGCCGGACCACCATACTGGCGGGGGCGGTCACCAAGGACGTGGCATTGCGGACGCTTGCGAGCCAGGAGGAAGGGGAGAACCTGCTCTTTGCGTTTGGTCGGTACTACATCGCCAATGTGAGTGGACTCGTGATTGATATCCCTGTGTTCTTGCTTATTCTTTGCAGCCTGACCTGCCCAAGCGGTTGAAGGAAGACATCCCACTGCATCCATACGACCGCTCCACCTTCTATTTAATTGGCCACAACTCGCCAAAAGGGTACACCGACCAGCCATTTGCAGACGACAAAGATGGGCTAGGGAAGACACGGTCGCGGCTGTAGATTGTCTGATTCATTGTGATTACTTAGACTTGGATAGACTACATTCGTTGAAGGACCGGAAGAATTTAGGAAGATTCCAAGAAGATTCGAAAAAAAATGTCGTGATGTGTCATCATATGATTTGCACCCTTCGACACCATCCACGACATACATAGGTTTCTCGAAGTTGAAGTCCGGCATTCAGGCTTCCAGAATAGCTTTGCACGTTTCAAATGCTTGGCGGCGGGTGCGCATAAGGCCCCGACGACGACCTAAAGAAAGGAAGAAGCCTCGAAGGACACGGAGACGTGCATAGTTTGCACTCACGTCTGCCCGTGTCGGGCCCGGGGGGCAGCTCTCGGAAGAGCGTTTGGCCGCCGATAGTACTCTCAAAGACTCGACACCACTTGCAACTACGCCGACATTTTAGCGCAAATACGATTGCCCGGTGGTACGAGTTAGCACACCTTTACTTTGCTGCAGTGCTAATAGCCTACTAGTATTAGTAGTCGCGGGTTTTCTGCTCCCACTGTTGGATTGTTTGCTTTATTCATGATTCGCGTGGTGCATTCAACACTGTGGTATGAATGGCTTGCCGACAACCGCGGAGAACTTACCCCGCTCAGGCTCTCAGGCGATGGTCACCATTTGACATTGCGGGTGGTCCGGCGGGTTGACTGGACGTCTACTTACCGCACCCTCTGATTTCTAGCCACCAAAGGTCCGTCGGTTCTCTGCTGCAACTCCTCGTTATCTTCTATCGTTTAACGATTTATTTTCTAGGTTCTGGATGGTGCATGCTCGAAGGTATGAAGAAACCCCTGACCCTTCGTGAAGACAAGTACTTATTTCTACAGACGTCAGACTTCTCTTCACGATTCCACCCCGCCGTCTTCTCTGCATCATCAAAGCCGAACGCTGAGGAGTTCACGTTTGCCTAGGGCCGAGTATACGTCCAAAAATGTCCCGTCACGCATCCAAATCTGGACGAACCCACATGCGTCCGAGCGCTGTTCCAGTCCCCAGTTACTGCACCCACACACAGCCGAGGACGCGCCGTCCTTTTCCGGCCTCCATAATCAGGCCCTCGATCCCATCTTCCCGGAGACTCTCTCTTGTATAAAGCTGGCCAAAACTTGGCCCTCTTGGCAAGCTGAACTCCTCTGGCTTACCGCGTTTGTCACAAGATGCTCATGCTCTCCCAGGTCCTCGCTGCCGTCCTTCTCAGCGCACTCGTCGTTTCTGCTTCGCCGCTCGAGGTAAAGCAAATGCTAGTACCTGATGGATTAGTCTGACTCTCTTGGCAGGCGCGTCAATCGTGCAGCTCGACGTACACAGTTGTCAGTGGAGACACCTGCGCTGCGATCGAGTCCAAGAAGGGCATCTCTGACGCCCAACTACACGCACTCAATCCCTCGATCAACAGTGCTTGCACCAGTGAGCGCTGGCCGACTGGTGGCCTCATATGTCTCTCTGACTCGATATTTTCAGACCTTCAGATTGGGGAAGTTCTCTGCCTCAGCAGCGGGGGAACGTCTTCTGGCTGCAGCAAGAGCTACACAGTGGTCAGCGGGGACACATGCGCTGCTATTGAGTCCAAGACGGGAGTCTCCGATGCGACTCTTCACTCGCTGAACCCGTCCATCAACAGCAGTTGCACCAGTAAGTATACATCACATTTCTCGTTATCCCGCCCGCTCACTCCCGAACTTTGAGATCTCCAAATCGGCCAGGTTCTCTGCGTTGCGAGCGGCGGCGGCTCGTCTCCTCCTGGCGGTGGGCAGACATTCAACGGGCTTGCGACATACTACGACCCCAACGGCGGCCGCGGCGCATGTGGTAACATACTCCAGAACAGCGACTTCATCGTCGCCTTGGGGAGCGGTCATTGGGACAGCGGGGCCCATTGCGGTGCCACGGTCAACGTCCAATGTCCGTTCAATTCACAGCCTCTGCTGACAATATCGAGCTAATTGCTGGCTGCTTTAGATCAGGGCAAGACTATCCAGGTTGTCGCGCAGGACCTCTGTCCCGGCTGCCAGGGCGCGAACGGCCTTGATCTCTCCGAAGGCGCGATGCAGGCGTTGGACGCGAACTATATCGCGGACGGGGTCATCTCCGTTGTGTGGGGCTTCGCTTAGACGTTATATTTTGGGGGTAGAAGGGTGTGATTTTGCTTAAATATCATGATTGTGAAATTTAACTTGGATTAGTTTGAATGAGACATCGCCTCCACCGACTAGTCGATGAGGAGGCACAGTTACAGTAGATAAAGATGACAAGGAAGGTCCCAGATCGCTCGGACTCATCCAACGGTGCACCAGCAGCTTCAATGGCGGACGAGTTGAGTCTACTAGTAGTCTACTACTTAGTAGGCCGCAAGAAGTTGGCAAGAACTTGAAGTTGCGCAGTAATCTTTTTGCGAGCTGCCGAAAAGCTGGCTGTTAGGCTCTGAATGTTAAAATTCAAGAGAACGGCCTAGCACCCAGTCGGCGATCTGAGCAGATGACATTCGGAAAGGAAAAGTTAATGGCGTGACCGCGGTGATGCGCCATCATCACCTTTTGCCTCTCACGGCCAGGATGCCCAGCCTGACGACCGGGAAGGTGCTGGTCTCGGGTGCCAATGGATTCATTGCCGCGGTGAATGGCATGTACCGATCCACAATTGCGACTCAATACTCGATACTTAGTGGGTCGTCCGCTCGCTCCTTGAAGCCGGGTTTGCGGTGCGAGGAACAGTCCGTTCCGAGGCCAAGACTGCCCATCTGCGGAAGGAGTTCGCCTCGTATGGCGACGGATTTGAGCTGGTTGTAGTCCCCGACATAACTGCAGTACTTATGTTTTGCGCTGGTAGTACTACTGGTGTCATTTACCTGTTGTCAGGAAGGCGCCTTTGACGACGCCGTGCGGGACATCGATGCTGTCGCGCATACAGCGTCGCCCTTCCATTTGAAGGCGGTCGAGCCTGATGGCAAATGCCCGCTCCAGCTGGAGGTTGTTGGCCGCTGATCAGTCGTTAGAACTGATCATACCCGCGATTCAAGGCACAGTCGGAATTCTCAAGAGCGTGCTGAAGAATGGGTAGAGTCTTTCTCTCCGGTCGTCATTATTTAACACATCTCTCTAGGTCGAGCGTTAAACGCGTCGTGATCACGGGCTCCTGCGCGTCCGTGCTGCATGTCGCCACGGAGCCGAAAACGTTCAGTGAGGTCGATTGGAATGAGCAGTCTCCGAGAGAGGTCGAAGAGATGGGCCGGGACGCTCCAGCCATCACAAAGTATCGCGCATCCAAGACTCTAGCTGAAAGAGGTTCGTGCCTAATTCATCGGCAAGTACTCACGACATAACGCAGCTGCGTGGAACTTCATGGAGGAACACAACTCGCAAGTAAAGTGGGATCTATGCGTCATCAACCCGCCCTTTGTATTCGGGGTGCGTCTCGAGACTCGAGTTATTAGTTGTTGATTTTCCATCTTTACAGCCGACAATCCACGACACACCAACTCCTTCCGACCTCAATACTTCGGCAGCGCAATTCTTCACCATGCTCACCGAATCCTCCCCACGCGACACTCTCCGCAGCGGTGCGGCGTGGATCGACGTGCGCGATCTCGGAGCGGCACATGTTGGTGCTTTTCAGAACGAGGAGGCCGGCGGCGAACGGATAATCGTCAGTCAAGGCTCATTCGTTTGGCAGAACTTCTGTGCGTCTTGGACTGCCATACCTATTACCCGCATCTCACAGATTGAACCAGTCGACGCAGCGCCAGAGGTCTCCGCAAGAGGTTTCCAGTATCAGAAGGGCATTGCCGGGTGTGATGTCGAGCCGCCCGTTGTCCACCACATACAGTATGACGCCCGGAAAGCAGAGAAGCTACTGGGTATCCCGGTCGAGAGTGGCTACCGCAGTGTCGGAGAAATGGTCCGAGATACCGTGACGGATTGGGAGGCCCGTGGATGGGTTTGATTCACATGCAGACATAGTAACATTGTAAGACGGGTTGCTTCAACTTGAGCAGCTCAGAAAACAAAGGAATATCTTGAACTTGAAGTCGTGCAACGTGAGGATTCAAAAGCATCGATATTTCTATTTCTAGTAGTAACTGGTAAAGGCCGTGGCATTAGCTCTTGCCAGTGTCCAACAATAAGGAGGTGAATAACTCCCAAACGATGTGAATTGGGGATAAGATTCAAGCGGCCGCCGGCTGAGAAACGGAATCATCGAGTGACAACGTGACCTTTTTTCCCTTGCACAAACCTTCAAAATGTGGGTTGCGCTTTGCTTTCAGTTTCACGACTGATATGCCCGGCCTCGCGACAGGGAAGGTGCTGGTTTCGGGTGCCAGCGGGTTCATCGCCGCGGTGAGCATACTACTGTACATCTTCGAGTCAGCATCGTAACGCTCGCACTGGTAGTGGGTCGTTCGCTCCCTGCTTGAAGCCGGATTCTCCGTGCGAGGGACTGTCCGCTCCGAGAACAAGACCGTGTATCTGAAAAAGGAATTTGCCTCGTATGGGGACGCGTTCGAGCTCGTGGTGGTCCCAGACATAGCAGCAGTGCGTTGTTTTTCTCTGTGGATCAGTGCGGCTTACCTAGGGTTAGGAAGGCGCGTTTGACGAAGCTGTGCGGGGAGTCGATGCTGTCGCACATACGGCTTCTCCTTTCCGGCTTGACGCGGTGGACCCAGATGGTGAACCCGACCTCCGTCAATCCGAAATACTCAACGTCAATAGAACTCATCCTACCAGCGATACGGGGCACAGTCGGAATGCTCAAAAGTGTTCTCAAACATGGGTACTTCGAGTTCTCTGGTCGCCCCAATGGAATGACATGTCCGTTTAGGTCTGGTGTTAAACGCGTCGTCATTACGGGCTCCTGTGCATCCGTGATTCATGCCGACCCTGAGCCAAAAACATTCAGTGAGGTCGATTGGAACGAGCAGTCTCCGAAAGAGGTCGAAGAGATGGGTCGAGAAACGCCCGGCATGACGAAGTACTTTGCATCCAAGACTCTAGCAGAGCGAGGTGCGTCTGCAATCTTCCCGGTGTTGGCTCGTTTCAACTCGCAGTTCAGCCGCGTGGAACTTTATGAAGGAATACAAGTCGCAAATGAACTGGGATTTAGTTGTCATCAATCCGCCATTCGTCTTCGGGGTCAGTCTTGTTACTTCGTGCATAGCGTCCCATCTTCCCCGTTTTTGTAGCCCACGATTCACGATGTTACCACACCTTCCATGCTCAATACCTCCACGTCACACTTCTTCACCATGCTCACAGACCCCTCCACCAGTGCCTCGTCGCCTCTGGCTACTTTTCGCAGCGGCGCGGCCTGGATCGACGTCCGTGATCTCGGAACAGCACATGTTCGCGCATTCCAGAACGAGGAGGCTGGCGGAGAGAGGATCATCGTCACTGAAGGCTCTTATGTATGGCAAAACTTTCGTGCGTCTTCGATGATTGTCGTCGCTGTCCTCTGAGACCCACGACGAGTAGTTGATGAAGCGCCAGAGGTATCGCCGAAGGGATTGAGATACCAGAAAGGCATTTCGGGCTGTGATATTGAGCCTCCGGTGGTGCACCACGTCCAATACGACACTCGAAAAGCAGCCAAATTGCTTGGTATTCCAGTCAAGAGTGGGTACCGAAGCATCGGAGAAACGGTCCGAGATACCGTGGCAGACTGGGAGGCTCGTGGATGGGTTTGATTTACATACGAACAGAGGGTGAAACCGGAAGAGAAGTTGTTTCATTGTACTACCCAGAGAGCCCGCGTGATAGTATCTCAACAGACGTGATATTTTGTGTGTCGAGACTGGAGGCCGACGAGTGATTTGGCCCTGAAGCGATCTACGCGCTCGTTGGCGAGGTTGATAGCGGTCTGCTATCCACGATTTCCTGTCGCGGAAGTTGATGTCAAAGGTCGAGCACACGGATGATCCTCTGCATACGTCGTCATCCTAACGACCCACAACAACCACGCGAGCAGAGCGACCTCGCGGCAGGCGATCTTTGTTCGTTATATTGCCGTGTTTGGTCATTGTTGGCATCAGGGTGCAACCAGTGTATAAAACCGGATGCGCGGCGCTCTGCGTGGTCCAGGAACAGCAAGGTCCCGCGTTTGCCCCCGCCTTCCCTCAGGATGTTCTCGCAGATCGCTGTGTCGTGCGTTTTGCTGCCGCTGCTTCGGAGCGTCGCTGCGTCGCCGTTGGAGGTAAGCATGACCTGCCATTGCGTATCCCAGCCAACAAAGCCGTCTCCGTGCAGACACGTCAATCATGCTCCTCGTCATATACGGTCGTCTCCGGCGACAACTGCTGGGCCATTGAGCAAAGAACTGGGGTTTCTGATGCAACTTTGCGTTCCCTCAACCCTTCAATCAACAGCGGGTGCACGAGTAAGCATATGCTTCCTTCATGTCGCGTCGTCCACTCACCTGTGCACCCGACAGACCTCCAAGTTGGCCAAGTGTTATGCCTGAGTTCTGGGGGCTCAACTCCCCCCGGAAATTGCGGCAACAGCTACACCGTTGTTAGCGGCGACTCCTGCTGGGCAATCGAGCAAAGGACCGGGATCTCCGATGCGACGCTACACTCCTTGAATCCATCCATCAATAGCGGCTGCACCAGTAGGTTTACTTTCACGGTTTCTTCAGCAGACATTCAGCTGACTGGGCATAGATTTGCAAGTCGGTCAAATACTGTGTCTTGGAAGCAGCGGCGGGGGCGGAGGTGGCGGTGGAGGCGGGCAATACAGCGGTCGCGCAACCTATTATGACCCCGCGGGCGGCTACGGCGCTTGCGGCGCCCCGCTCTTCAAGACCGACTTCGCTGTGGCCATGGGCGCGGGCCATTGGGACGGGGGCTCGCATTGTGGCCGTTCAATCAAGGTCGACTGTGCGTATTTTGGTACTTGTCTGTCCCGAATGCGGTTTTTGAGCGTCAAATAGATCAGGGCAGAAGCGTCCAAGTCGTCGTCCGGGATTTATGCCCCGGCTGCCAGGGCACTGAAGGCATTGACCTCACCGAGGGCGCCATGGCAGTCTTGGATCCGAATTATATCTTCGATGGCGTCATTACCGTCAACTGGAGCTTTTTGTAAGGGCCTGTTGATCGACGACGAGGGGAGATTGCTGGAAAGAGATGCACGAGAAGATACCCATTTGTAGATAAAGCGAGGTTAACTTCCAAAAAAATTAGGGATTTGTGACTACCAGTGACAACTGTGACTACTGATTTAGGAATGGGCGCTTATTTTTTGTGACTCGCTTTGCGTTGGTCGTCGATGATGCCAGTTGACGGCGCATTATTACAAGCCTGCTTTCCTCCAGAACTCGAGCGCGAGATATTCGAAATTGCGGTACTGTCTTACCCTTCCGCCCTACCCGCCGTCTTGCGTGTTGCCCGACGAGTCCAGCATTGGTACGTGATGGAGGACTTTGCTACACTGCCAGGATATTATTTGACTTGTTGAACAGGATTGAACCACTCACCTTCCGCGTGTTATGTCTGAATAGAAGCGCCAAAGCCAAAGCCTTCGTTAAGACTCTACGCCGGCTCAAAAAATTAGAGCCACCCCAAACCAAACGCATCACCTCAGGTATTCGTCATCTATTCTTCGATCTCCGTGGACTATGCACGGTCGAGGAGACTAAGGACATTCTGCGAGCTTGCAACAACCTATACGACTTCGCTGCCATCGGCGACTTCTCCCACCCCGGTCTCCTACCTATTCTTGCCAACCTTCGCATCACCCGTCTCGCTATCTGTTTTGAAGTCCTCTTTGGGGGCCTAGCCGAAGTCGACCTGATGCATCCAACGCTATTAGGCATTACGCATCTCGATGTTTTCGACCCAGTGTCGTCTCTCATCGGACCCAACCAAGTGTCCCTTGATGAGTTGCTTCCTCAACTTCCGTCTCTCACCCATCTCTGCCTTAACAACGAAAATCCGAACGAGCGCATATTTCGGCTACTGAAAAACTGTCCTCACCTTAAACTCCTCGTTGTTCTTGCGCCAGGCAGGACAGATCAGATCAACTTCGACCCCTCCGATCCAAGAGAAAATAAAGATGATCGACTGGTGTATGGTACCTTTGGAGACTACTGGGCGCAGTGGGAATCTGGGGCTCACGGTTCCCCTAACTTTTGGACCATAGCAGAGAATGTGGTCGCTCGGCGGCATCAGGAAAGGTCGAAAGATATGGCATTAAGTGCGTTTATTTCACTGTGGATCAAATGGCAACTGAACTTGTTCTGCTACAACAGAGCCATAAAAGGGTTATACTTTGTTTTATGCCGGTGGCGTCGGTTTTTGCTATGGATGCATTACCTCCCATTGGCGGCTCATATTATGCTTGCCCTCCACTCTTCTTTGTTCCTCACAGAAGTTTCCGATGCTACTATAAGCGCAGGAACTTGAAATCCCCTTGCCCTTATCTCCCCTTGCCCCTCAAGGCACGCTCCCAGTCGAAGACTCGAAGTTGGCATAGAAGCGTAGCTTCGGTTCCCTCCGCCATTGCCTTGTCTTCTTTCATGTCCGTCGTCATTGTCCGACATTTCTCCAGCATGCTATCTTCGTCGGGCCGGGTTTAGCATTCAAAACCTTTCCAGATTCGTTGCGGCCTGTGGGTCTTGCTGAGGCCCCGCGGTACATCGACATTTATGGACCAAGTATGTGCTTCGGTCCGAGTCATAGTATCTCCCAACTTCCCTCTTCTTTCAGTTTCCCCAGCTCCCACATCCCTGGCAGCCTCAACCGCGGACCCGAAGACAGCATCACCGGTATCCAGTGGAACACAAATACTTCTCGCATCTCACGATTCTGCTTCTTTCGGAGATTTTCGGCTTCAAGTTCCCGCTGGCGATGGCATTCTTACAGACAGCCTGCAGGACATTTACAGGACATTCACAGACAAGTACTTGCTAGACAGCCAGCTGCAGGGCGACCACACCTATGCTTGACTCGCCATCCTACACTCTGGATCGGTTGAGTCGAGTCTGAGGTCAACTGACAACCCCTCATCTCATTCTAGTACTGCGGAGCGCCTCTTGATCATCATTTGGCGCCGCTGGCGGAAGGCGGAACACTCACTCGCATCCTCGCATCAGAACGGGATGAACGCGGCGTCGGTGCTCGAATTTCGCCGACTTGCGTAAACGGGCTTTCGTATCCCAACGTCATCGACTAAGATCCTCGGGCCTCGTCAAACGCAACCTTAGCAACAACAACCCATGCTCCGTGGCCAGAGTCAACTTGAAGCAAAATCGGTATGTATATTCTTGGAAATCACAGATACCCGCCGCCTCACGAGCCGCGTTAGCCCTCGACGCGATGGCGGAGGTCGGAGTAGATGTTCACCATTTCTCAGCGAAGTTTTCGACGTCAATCCCAAGTTTACCCACTTTTGCCCTGTCTGGGCGTGCTTTCTGCGCCTTGAAAGGCTTTTGGGATTGTGCTAGAACACGCAACCTGCCTGTCTTTGTTGCCGCCCGCCAACCGCCAGCTGTTGCTGCTATGCCTTGACGGGATCATTGCACATGTCCACCCTCGATGCCTCCCCGGGTTCTTCAGCAAGTATTTAGAGTTGATGCACGGAAACTCTCTTGTGAGTCGGTGCTGTTGATTCTCGCCGAGATATGACTTGATTGAATTATCTAGTAAGTTTAGCTGTGTCTTTCCCTTGTGCGATCCTCGTCGGAAATAGAGGACTGAGTTCTTGAACCTGGTGACTCGGGACCAAACTCGGGCTAAGCGTCAGCCGCCTAGCATCTAAGCGAGCGCACTCCGCAACAACCACATGTAGATCGTGATGCGGCGCCTCGTTCCTGAATGGGACTTGCCGCCGGCTCGCTCACACCGGTCCCGGGTCCATCTGGTGCCGAGGCCGGAGCTCGCAAAGGCGGTGACGATTGCCATGGCTCATCCTCTAACTCCTCATGCAAAGCGGCTGTTGTCGCTCTGCGCTCGCCGTGGCACGTTGGACCAACACTGACTTCGGAACTGGAGATAAGGGGGAAAGACCCTTTATTCTTGGTCGTTCTCTCGGCTCGAGTCGGTATTTCCAAGATGAACAGCTGATGGTGGCGAGAGGGGTTAACTGAGCGACGGTTAAGCGCCAAGTGGCTCGAGTGACCTCGATTCTCGAATGTTGCGCTATATTGCGTTGGCGCTTGCAAGTTGTCCTCCCGGAGAGACACGCATACACACAGTCTAAGCCTACGTCTCCGCCGATCACCACCGTTGTGTCGTCGTCGATTCGCACCAAGTATAGCTTCCGCCGCAAGCTTCTCCGGTGAATTACAGAAGGGGCAGCTGCGTTCCCACCGCATTTCTCCAAGTCGAAGTGGCGGCCTTCGGATCTGAAACGAGAGATCCATCAACTGCTTACCGCTTGTAAGACAGCCTGGGGAAGAATCGCTCGAACGCTCGCGACATCGCTTCTTTAGCCAACCCTTCTTAAACACGGTGCCGACTCGTTCAAGCTGGCTTCTGATTCTCTCCCCGGTCCCCCCTCCTCCCGCCTCTGCCCTCGCCGTAAAGGATAACGCTGAGGTTTGTGCTCGCGAGGCAAGCCCCCACAACGCGGCTCACATATTGTTTTCTAGTTCACTCGCGACCCTTTCGGTATCCCTACAACCCGCTGCCATCGTCTCTTGCTACTAGCACCAACGAAGCAAACTTTGGACCGTTACTCAGACCCATCATCGCCAATGTCTTCCGCCACCACTGCCCACGACCAAGCTCCGTCATCTCCAGCCGCGTCAGAAGGTTCTTCTTCGCGGTCCAGTGCGCCGCCATCGACACCCCCAATGACAACGTCCCTCCCAATTGCCACCACTTTCATGAACTTCACGAGCGAAGACACTATCAACGGAGTTCCCAGCCTCGCCGGTGTCAAACGCACTGCGAAAAACATCAGAAGAGTCAATACTGCTGAACGACGGGCAACCCACAATGCTGTTGAGCGTGCCAGACGCGAAACACTCAACGGGCGGTTCTTGGTGAGTGTCGCTATTGACAGCTGCCATTCCATTGGGTCTGACTCGGCCCTCAGGACCTTGCCGCACTCCTCCCCAACCTCAATACCATTCGTCGTCCATCCAAATCGGCCATTGTCAATTCGTCAATCGCGCATCTCAATGCCTCTCGGCGGCACCGTATCCTTGCGGCTCAAACTCTCCGCATGATCAAAGAGGAAACAGACGCGCTCCGTCACGAGATTAACCAATGGCGCGCGCGGGCTGGCGTTCAAGGGCTTGAGGAGCCAATGCGTGGTGATGGGTTTGGGCTCATCCTCACTGGGGAGCTTGAGTTTGAACAGTCGGATTTGCTGGACGGGAGCGAAGAGGGCGAGGAGGATGGGGATGGCGCGTATGGGAGCCGCCCGTATTCTTCTGGCGGAGAGCCATCAGCTGAAGAATATGCTCTTCAACGAGCCCATGCGGAGATGCTTGCTGCCCAAGCCCACCAAGCCCAGCTTCAGCACCAAGATCACCTGCGTGCCCAACAGCAAGCCGCGTTCAATGGCGAGCCACACACACCTCCAGGCTATTACAGCTCTCCAGCCGTTGTCCACACCCGACTCGATGCTGCCTACGAGAACCCCTCGGCGGGCTACTACGAGCCGGCGGTCCATCCAACTTCGGTCGACATGGAGCAACAATGGGCTGCCGTCGCTTACGAGAAACAACAACGGATACTCCACCACCAACAGCACCACCAGCCGTCCTGGTGACCTCCTGCCCGCCTGCCGCGGACGTTGTCTTGCTTGCTGATACCCCCTCATCGTGTCCGACGCTCACACACCCACATTCTTTTTTTATTGTCGACCGTCGTTGCATACTCGCAACGTCCGTCGCTGTAGATACCTCCACAATGCGCTCCTTGCTTCCGCGTGGAAATTATAAACAATTGTTGTATCAAAAGCAGGGAAGCGCCGCTCCCGTTGTATTAATGAAGCGAAATGAACCAAGACTTGTTCACGGCGGATGTAAGTTGATCGATGATAATATGATATCTGGATGTGGCTGTCAAGCCACATAGTACTGGGGGTCCTTTTTGTAATTTGCGGCGCGGAATAGACACTGAATGGGGAAGCAAGCTTCCCCATCATTCATATAAATTATACGTGGCCCAACTTGTTTCACGAAAAAACGTCCGTGTTCCTCTGCCCGCTAACTTGGTAGTGAAATCAGGAAGGAGAATTTCATTTTTTAAAAAAATATGAAATCCACTCATAAATTATGGAAAAAATAAAGCACTTAGACTGGCCGTCCAAGTTTCCAAGAATAACAATAAGGATAACTTCTCACACCGGGGTTTCTGTCAAAAAAAATGGGCCCTGAAGTAGGATTTATTTACAAGGGGGCATCATGATGTGACGATCTGACCACAGGCTGGGTGGTTACCCTGGCAGGGCTTAAAAATATTTTCTGTGCATGATTACATTTTGGTTTTATTAGGCTAATAATGGGTTGAGGAATGCACAATAGCCTCAGAATGCTTGCTTGACCATTGAATAGGCCAAGAATAGGCATTGGAACTTGTTGGAAGCTCTTTGCAAGCTGTACCATGATTACAGGCCAAAGGGAAGTGTATATACCAGCTCTATCAAGCTTCTTATTGGCCAAGAGTCACCACGTCAGAATGAAGTGCAATGTATTGTAAAGCTGTGGTCTGTCCTACCTGCCACAATCCTGCTGGTACTGATTATAGACTGGCAGTCCAGCTTGTGACAGTGGTAACTGGAGCAGCATTGGTGGCCTTGGGGCAGAGAGATGTCTATGTCCTTGGGGCTTTGGGCAGGGCTCCCTGCCCAGAATATAGAGACTGCAAGTGCTATGGAACTGTGCACGTCACCCTGGTGTCACTAATCTTATCAGCACCCACCTTAACAGACCAAGGGGGTATCAGAAAAAAAAATAACGGAACATACATTGGACTTTTTGTTTAAGCCCTTCCAGGGGACCCACCGACCGTGATTGTGACGTGACATCACCATATTAGGAAGGTAATTCACACAGTCATGTGATCTGACAGCATCAAACTTAGTCAGTCCTCTAAAATTTCCAAGAACATTAATAGAAACATAGACTTCTAGCTATATATATATCTTGTAGACAAAGTCCTGATATAGTCATTGTCTTACAAATCTCACTCCAGAGTACAGATATCCATCCCCATATGGTCTGATTTGTCACAATGTTCCATCTGATGATGAGATACTGAAAAATAACCACTTGTGAGATTGTTGATACTTAATTATGGATGTATAGTGCACCAAACAGTACTTGTAACCCATCCTAAGACAATTTTGACTTACCATTTCAGCCAAAAAGTTTCTACCAAACAATTTTTTTAAGGGTCCGGAGGGGGGACCGACCGACCATCCCGGTTGTCACTTTTTGACACGTGACACCCCCTTGTAACAGACATCTGTAATCAAATATTTCCTTTTATGGTATATCTTATCTTATCTAATGTCACATGGTTGGTTGGTTGCCTGGCCAAGGCTTAAAAACAAAAACTGGCATGTGCTCCACCATTCACATCATGATGCCCCCTTGTTTATTTATGAAATATACTTAGTGGACAAAAAAGATGTATATTTTAACAACTTGGAAAGACAACTCCAGGAAAGTAGACTTGATTTGTAAGAAATTAGAGCATATATTAAGTCATCAGATTTGACTTAACTCAAAGCCAATATCAGCTGACAATTTTGTGCCTATGATTTGTACTAAATATGCCACAAGATATGATCTGATATATATTAGAAATCAGGGCCAGCACCAAATGGCAAAGTGTACTTAATATATCAGAAATGAGTGACAAATTGCCATTATATATGATAAATCACTCTTATATATAACAAATTGGGGGTAATAATAATATGACACTAGTTTTTGACAAATATTTGGGCTTGAATAAGGTGCACTTATTGTTTACAAAACAGGGTTGGAGAGAGGGTTGTCGCAATATATGCTATATTTGATACCCCAATACAGAACTCAATCTCTTATAAATCAGATACAATTGTTATTACTCTTATTGCATATCAATCAAAGCAGTGAAAAAGGGACATTGTTTTAGACCACTATTTCCTTTATATAAATGCTGCTTAGGGAACTATTTTTTGGCAGAAACCCCAGTGTAAGTTCTGTTGAGATGTCATCCGCAGCCAGCACTTATCAGGCCCTTAGTGTTCCCTGAAGTTCTTCAATATTCCTCTTACACATTCTTCCTCTTCCTAGTGGAAATATCTAGAAACAATTACCAAGGTATATAAGATACTATGGCAATTTATTCAATTCGGTACCTGAAAGTTGTGTGACATTGGTGCTGAAATGAAAAATTTCAGTGCTGCCTGGTCATCTGTGTGATAGCCAAAATATTCCGCCAGAAAATTTTTGATGGTCTGATGGTACTTTGACATTCAGCATCTGGTTGTGAGCCTGTGAAATGCCAAAATATTTTAGTGCTGGAGAGCTGGTGTGATGTGTGACCGCTGAATTAAATAAAGTACTACAGTAGATATACTAGCTACATATAATCAGAGATTTTACCTCCTCTCCTCTGCACATTACAACTCCAACCTCAGCACTAACATTCTTTCATGTTTATACCAGAGGTGTAAGGAATCTATCCTGTAGCCCTGCAGCTTGACCCTGACCCATTGATTAGCTGCAGTCTGGTATAGCGGAGGCAATGACTATTTTTGCCAATTTCATTGCTCAGCACCTATTTTGTTGCTCAGTGTACATCTTAGAGTTGATGTCAGTCCCAAATGGTCAACTAGGGAGTGATCTGTAAAAGAACCAGTTGAAATATACAAGATTATACTCTATAATCCGAGATTCTAAACTAAGAAAAGTTCACAGAGCCTGTTTCTTGCTAGGAACTATCTAATCCTATGCAAAATACTTAAAGGGAGCATACAATAAAAGGTATATTTGGTTTGGTAGACACTGGAGACTTGAAACCTGTCAGGCTTTGGGTTAGCTTCTCCTAAGGAACACGTGCCCGGAGCAGGACAGACAAATTGTATGGCTTGCAAGCAAACTGGGTGGGGTCGAATGGAACCAAAAGGGCCCATTAAAGTAGTCCCATGTCGAAACCGGTATCAGGGTCCAAGGGGGGTTCAAGATCCTTATCAGGCACATAGGGTAGGGGGGGTCCCCGGAGGGTAAAAAAAAACTTTTTTGTATATGAAAGATTTGGGCCTTATATGAGTGTAAAGACACTGAAAATATAGTGTATACACTCTAATTTCTATAGTTCACAACTCTCATACTTATATCTACATACTTTCAGGCCCATGAGCTTGGATAGCCCACTCTGTCATGGGCCCATCATCAGGTAATTGATGAGAGGGGAACATGTTGAAGAGTTGATATGGCCTGCCAGGTGTGTCTGAAGGCTCCAGGTACATGCATACCTACACATATACACATACACAGGTATAAAATCTTTTGCAAAAAAAAAGTTTCACAAAGATTGAATTTTTTATCCCACTTTTTGATCACATCAGTGGTCACATGACGCTGATCATGAGAATATATTACTATATAAGGCAGGAGGGGGGAGGGGGTCCCCAGAGGGTTGGGCAAAAACTTTCCAACCCTATATCCATGTTTTGAATCTTGAACCCCCCCTTGTCAGGGTTGAATCAAATTATTTAGGGCCTGATGAGTTGGTAATGCCTCCTTGCATAGAGAGAAGCAGTACAATAGATGATCTAAGCAATAGAGTATAGTATACACTATCACATCTTATATACACGGCCCCGCTGAGGGGTGATTGGATACCCTTGGCCTCTCCTCTATCCCCTTTGTCCCTGTCTCTAGCTGCAGAGGAGACGATCATATGTCCCTTGCAGGCCAGATGCTACTCCTAACCTCCTAGCACTCCTCCCCCATCCCCTTGTGTTACGAGTTGGGCTTGGTGTTGGGCCCAACATGTCATTCTCGGTTATGTGCTTCTTACATATACATTCCTTCCTACTGGGGCATCTGTTCCCCATCATCATGTGCTGTGCGTTGCTGGTGGCTCAATACCAGCACTAGAGCAGACAGGCCAGGTCTTATCTGTAACAAAACCTACTCTTCTCAGATAAGGGAAACCTGTGTCTCCACTGTTATTGACAACTTGTCAGACTGCGGGTCGGGCCGTGCAAGGACTTCTCCTAAGAACGCGCGCCCGGAACAGAACAGACGAATAGTCGGGCCCGCAAGTACGGCGGGCGGTGTAGATCGAAACCGAAAGGGCCCGTGAACTCGGTCCCTTGTCGTAGTCGGTGGTCGATGGTTCGAATCGGGTCGTGTCGGGCCCGATGAGTCGATAGCGTCTCCTCGCATGGAGTAAGGTAGTTCTTCAGACGATCTAAGCGATAGAGTACAGGGTACACTATCGCTCCTTATATACGCGGGCCCGCAAAGGGGGTGATCGGACACCCTGGCCTCTCCTCCTCCTCCTCCTCCTCGCTCCCGTTCCTGGCCGCAGAGGGGACGATCGCACATCCCTTACGGGCCAGGCGCTACTCCTGACCTCCTAGCACTCCTCCCCAGTCCCCTGGTGTCGAGTTGGGCTCGGCGACGGCTCGACGCGTCGTTCTCGGTCACGTGCTTCCCACGTGTGCGTTCCTCCTACTGGGGCGCATGTTCCCCGTCGTCACGTGCTGCGTGTTACGGGCCCGCAATGGCCCGACACCAGCGCCGGAGCGGACGGGCCGGGTCT